ACAGCGCAGTTTTATCGTGATTTTCTATAGTATAGAGTGATGGTTTCGGGATTAAATTGTGTGTGTTTTTAATAAGAGAAATGGGTATGTCGTTACTACGAATTTCGTAAGTTATTGTCGAGCGAGTCTGGACAATGGTTGGCTTCAAAATATTGGATCGTGATCCAAACGTCTACTCGAAACCGGATCTGCTCGTGGCATTAACAGAAAAAAAAAAAAAAAAAAGTGTACGTTTTAAAATATCTGCATTTGACAATTGTTTGAAAAGGTCGTCTCCATCCTACCGGCGCTTAACGATCTTTTCAGATGATAAATGACGTCACAATAACGGTCCGGGAATTCCCGGACTTGTAAAATTTTCGTTTCTTCGGCTACTCGAGAGGGAGTTTGTACGCGTTGTATTATTAGTTGTGTATATAAACTGTTACTAACTTGGCTTTTTTATCATCCCATTTGTAAGTAGAGGGTAGGGTAATATGGCGCGTGGTCAATTTCCCAACCCTTTATCAATATAATGTTCGATGTTTCTCGATTGGGTTATCTTTTCGCTGGAGTCCATTTTGCCAAGTGTTTTTTCTTTTTCGTTTTTTCATCGTTAGGGGGGGGTCCTATTTGCTGTGTAAAACTCCATTTTCTAGTCTGATTTACCGTCTTTCCGGGATTTCCACCTTGAGAATGGAGTAGAGAGTGGGATCCGGTGGGAGAAAAGTTTTGTTTGCAATTTTACGGAGTGTGGAAGACAAAAGGCGAAGGGTGGACGAGGGGGGAGGAATTATCTGTCCGACGCTGTAAAAGCTGGCCTAAACGACGGCATCTTTAGATAACGTATCGGAAATGGCGGCCATAAAGCTCTCGTAATCCCGACTCGGTATGGTCGTCCCGGCTAATTGCCAAGTTACGTGTGCCGTTGCGAACGGCCTTTTGCGCATCCCCCCTTTCTTCTCTCGCTTATTTTTCAAGGATTACAAAGGGTGTGGCCGATGGTGGATGGGGTCGATCCACGCCCTTCTTTATGGATGCTTCCATTTGGCGAAAGGGCGATTTTTCTACGCAGACGGAAGCTTTCTATTCCTTGTCTTGGCGGAAATTTGTAACTCCCTCCCATTTCAAAACGTGGAGGATGAGTCGCCCCCTCGTCGATTTAACGGATCCCGTGCTGCGGGGGGTTCCAGCGACGATCGCTTCTTCCTGGTCGGGGGGAATGGCGTGCGGTCGATGCAAACTCATCCGGAAGATAATTTAGCGAAAGGAAGGCGAAAACTTGGGCAAACAAGAGAACCGCGCGCCTGTGACAAGTCGTGACGTATGGACTTTTCCATCACGATCTTTCGTGCCACACACCGGAAGTGACTTCAATCTACTCTCTAGTTTCCGGACGATCTAATGCATTGTGGGATAGTGTATGCCCGTCTGTCAATATACCTTCCATTAGGAGGCCACCCGCTTTCGTCTCCGTAACCACTCAGCGGGGGGAGGTGATTTTCGTTTATAAAAAGGGAAAGCCGACGTCTGTCTGTCCTCCATTCCGAGTTCGAATTCGCGTTCGGAGGCAGTAAAAGGTCAGAATACTGCCGAAACAAAAAAAAGGAGGGGGAGTGTATCAATCTCCATCGATACTTCTCCTCCCGCTCGGAAGTCGACGTCATACGAAGGATGGATGAGCCTTCTCTTGGCCCACCGAAGCGATAATGGACAGAGAAGAGACCCGGAAAGAAGTTGACCCCCCTTGTCTTCCGCTCCCTTTATGAAACATTTTAAATCCTTTGCTTTCTATATTTAGACAGTTTTGTCACGAGGGGGGAACAACCGACGTCACAGAAAGAACTTGGGAGGGGAATCTCGTATCGTTTACCTATCGAAAGGGGAGGGGAATTGCTGACGAATAAAAGTGAAAAGCGATGGTATCGAAGAGTCTATCGAGAAAGGGGCGATCCAAAATTCGTAGTGGCCTTGAGAGAGGTGGATATTGCTCTCCTGTATAAATAAACACGTCGGCTCGGGGACGAAAATAGACCAGACGAAAACGAATCTTCTATGTACTTCCAGGAGTGGCCGATTTTCCGGGTGGTGCAGTGAAGATCATCCGACAAACTAGCTCGACCGGATCCCGTGTTCTACAAACTCGCTTCCCCCCGTTAATCCCCCCACGAAAGTCGACGCCACTCGTTATTAATTGAGACGATACATAAATCGTTGATGAACCGTCACGCGCGTCGTGGCTTCAGGCTTCTCTTGACGACACCCCCGAGACTTCACTTCATTATGCAACATCCTTTCTTACTCTCCATTTGTCTTAACTTTCGCTTTCTTTTTATCTCCCCGTTCTAGATTCCAACTTTCAACCCCCCGAAGGGGTTGTTGGTCTTTTTAAGTGGGGACAGTTCGGTACTGGAAAACTCCTTACCCTCGATCGGATCCGTGGTTTAGATTCTCGAAAGATCGAGCATCCCCGGTTTACTTCCGCCACGTGTTTGATTTGGAGCCACCTCTTTGAGAGGACCAGAGGAGCTATTATACACCAAACGCCATCGACCGGATACCGGGAAAGCCTCCTTTCTCCGCACGTGCGACGGAATCGAAGCGTTTCTTGGAAGAATGAGGTTCCTCATCGATCTTCCTTCTCCGACTCGACTTATTATTATTTGCCGTTTGGCCGGAAAACGTCCAGGTGGCATCGTCCGCCCGTATTTCCGGTCGTCACCGAAGGGTTTCGAATTCCCGGAACGGTCCACGCGGCGCGAAGAAGGTGGCCATGAATGACCTCACGTGATCACACCCCGCATTCTGTATAATGTCTGCAAATTCTTTGCACCGTATCGGGGTGTTGCCGAAGAAAATCTGCAAGTTTTCTCAGTGTATAAATGCCCCACGAGAAGGAGGGACGGCGTGAATTTTTATTTAACCGTCCCAAGAGATGGGACTCCATTTTAAGCTTCGAACGGGGGGTTTCGTAGAAAACGAGAGTTTTTTTCGGCCCCGGAAATAAGTTTTCTAGAGCTCCACCCCCTTAAAAGTCAATGTGACGAGAGAATTATTGTGTTTTTCTGCGGAGAAGTAGGGAGAAGAGCTTTATCGGAACTTTATAGCTCGGTCTGATACAGCGGGGGGTCGGTCGCCCTAGCAACGGTAGATAAACAAGAAAATTCGCTTTTCTTACCCCCCCGGTCGCTAGACGGCGCGCCGGAAACTCGGCTGGCAGTTTTCGGCCCGGCCCGGACCCCGACTCGGCCGGGCACGGGGTCGTTCCGCCTACGCCCTCGACCCCGGAGGGTGGAAGGAGACGTCCCTCCTCGCGTTACAACGCTACGTGACGGCGCGGACTTCTCCGCTGCCAGGGGTCGAAGGTCGCTCGTTCGTCATCCGGGCCCTCCCGAACTATTCGACTCCCCTCGGGAAGTATGTCCGCGGAAGGAAAGCCCCTTACAGAAAGAAATGTCCACGGAAAATCCTACTGGAGGTCGGTCGAAGGTCAAAGGGTTAAAGGTCGTAAAATCCGGCTTTACTTACAACCGACGGGGAAACCCGGGTGGTAAAATTGCTTTTCTTCCGCCGACAGACTCGAGGGAGGTAGAAATTCGCTTCTAGGCAGTTAGGAGGTGTTCACGCGGGAGAACACGTCACGTCACGCGAAGCGGCATCATTTCGCCTGTCCAGGAGAGCGTGAGGGAGATACTCCTTAATGCCTTGTATCGGTGTCGCGGCTCTTTTCCGCCCAAAGAAGACGGGATGACTGACGAGCCGGGACTTCCTCCTTCCCGATTTGCCACGTGACCGGGGATCACTTTCGGTCATCCCTTCTTAACCTCGAATTTACGAGGGAAGATTGCGTCGGGCTCCCTTTCCATCTTTGGATATAAAGACGAGAACGGCTGAAAAATCTGTCTCTCGTGCATCCAATTGGATGGATTATGAAGATCTGTAGGGGCAGAGGTTTAAAAAAACCTGCCAACTTGACCTTTCGGTCTCCAGTATTGGCCATCTTTCAGTTGCAAAAGTCCGTCCGTGTTTCGCTCTCTTCCGTTGGAATTTTCGGATTCTACGGAGAGGAGTCCGGAATAATCCTCAATCTCCAAAGATGCCATAGGAATAAGAGGATAAGAAAGGGGTGGGAGGGTGGGGCCTCGTGCGAAAATGCCTACTAATAACCCATTTTTGGACCTCCGTCACGGTAATAGCCGGTTGCGTCCGCCGAAAAACGTCCAAATTACACACGATGACGCGATTACGATTGTTGGCGCGCGCATTGTGCCGCCGAAAGACCACACCCCGCATTCAACGCCACTGCCTCTGCCTCTTCTCATTAACTTTCCTTTCTTCGCCGAACGTTTAGAGTCGGAAGAGGTCGGGAACGAAGAAAACAATCGCCCCTCCGTCACGCGCACGGAATGACTAAAAGGGGATGATGCGAATGACGTAGTCGTCTGTTCGACCCGAGTGACTTTATCTGGGACGGGTGGGGCTATCGGGAATCCAGACAGGTACGCTCCAGTCTCGTAGCATAAGTATCGATTCCTATAGCGAGTAACTTAAGTAGTGACGTGTTTTTAATAGGAATACAGTAACGTTATTAAGAATATTCGTCACGAGGAAGGTATAGAGGACCCATAGACGTGTGTGGTTTTGTATCATCGCTGCAGTAACAATAGTTATATATATACAGATTTTTGGTTTTATTTTTGTTACAGTCTCGTTTCTGGTATCGATTTTCCCCCTTTTTTTTTTTATAGATTATCGACATTTATAGGGCCTCGTGGTAGAGATAATGTTTAATCTTTGTTGGAGAAAAATCTATAAAAATACACTCGTTACGCATATAACTTTAAAGAACAATTCGGTTCGAACTGTTGTTTAACACCTTGCAACAAGAGGAAGAAGACCAGAGAAACACCTGTAAGGATGGTGTATAAATTGGGTTTCACTTTAACAGAAGTTACTGCCTAGTGTTTACCCTCAAACAATGGGAAAATAATGATTACAGGTGTGAAATTTTGTCATTTCAGGAGTCGATGGGCCGGATGGAGGGAGCCCGAGGAATGTCGATGCCAACGAACAGTGGAAGAAGAAGAGTTAACGGAACCCGAGGTGGACTTAGAGTGTAGCCAGTGAGTATATTGTTTCTTTCGCTTCGGGGGTCGGAAATTACGCGTTGTATTGCGGGGTGGGTGAAATTCGGCACACCTCTAGACCGCTTGGTAGGCCTCCCACCGTTCGGGATGGAGCCACTCGGAGGCATCTGGTCTTTTCCCAGACTACCCGTCGATCGGCGTGGCGCGCCAACCAAACCGGTGTTTTCGATTCGCGAAATTCGACACCTTTGTGAGGGGGGAGTCGGAGACTTCCTTCCTTCCCCGCCGGAAGTGGTCCGGAAAAATATGCGCGCGCGAGGCAACAAGTGTTCGGGAAACGAGGGCGGAGGGGGTGGAAAGGAGGAAGAGCCCGGGGCCGACGGTTAGTGGCGAGAACAAAGGGAAGACAAAAAGAGGCCGATTGATTGATGGAGGTTAGTGAATCGCGTCGAGTCTCCATTGTGTCCGTCGTTTAAGGAGCGATAGCGGCGCTAACGATTAATGTTAACAACATTTCTTCTTTCACTTTATCTCCCTTCGGTTCGAGAGTCTCTCACCTTTCGAATCCCCTTTCACCCCCTTCCTTCCGGCCCCTTGGCGCTATCTCCAAGTTCTAGAAGAACCTTATTCGGATGTAAAGATGGTAGGGACCAAGACCTAGCGCTTTGCACGGGTTCCTTCGTTCCCGGAGCGCCATCGTCCTCGTCTCTTCCTACAAATTGGTAAGGAAGCCGATCCGACGCCGCGCGGCGCGTTAGTTCGGCGCGCGCCGGCCGACCTTACTCGAGGTCAAAGGTCGACGACGCGTTCGGTCGGAAGCAGGCCGCGCCGTCATAAATCTAACCTAAGAAATAGAAGAGCGGCGCGGGTCGCGCCTAATTCGTGACGGCACGCGTGACACGACCGCCGCTTAACAATGGCGGGGCGGAAGAGCGGCAGGTGTCTGCCCCGGGGGCCCTCGGCGCGCAGTCTGCCGTCCCACTTTTCGGGTCCTCGTCGGCTCGGCCGGCGGGCCGCGGGCCGTCACGCAGCCGGAAAGCGGCGCCCGCCGGCCGAAACCGGAGAGAGCGTGACGATCGATGGTCGACGTCACGGCTGTCACTCTGGAATTTCGCAATAAAAGAATGGTTATGCGCCCTTAAAGTAAAATACGAGTCGAGAGAAGACACACACACTCTCTCTCTCCACCCCGCGTTAATCGACCCCGTCCGACTTAACAGGTGCGGGCGTCTCTTATCTCTTCCTTTCCGGCCCGATCTCTCCCGTTTCTAGGGGAATTAAACACGGACGGGGGAAAATCCTCCGTCCGTTTATTTTCGTTGCAAGGGGGCGCGACGCAGTCGGCGAGAATGGCCATTTGAAATAATTGTTCCAGTTGAGATTTTGTGTCGACGTTCCGATCCTCTTTGTTAAGAGGAGGGAGAATGAAGACTCGGTGTTTTCAATTGTGATCTCATCCAGAATTGCTGTTTTCTCGCGCCACAAATCTATGTACAGTACGTGAAGAGTACGAGGATCGGAAGTGAAATGCGTTGCCAAAGCCGAAAGTAATAAAGTACGGTGTGTGTTCCGAGTTGGTAGCGGAGTATCGTTGGCAACTAATCTTTATTTCGTGTCTTACACATTGTTAAGAACGGAGGGAAGTGTTTTTAGTGGATTCGGTTGGTTCGGAGGATGTTCGGCGGTTCGAACTCGGAGGAGTAAGACCTTACGAAGTGGAAAAAAAATGACGATCGGGAGGAAGATCGGGCGTTTACCCCCGTCGGGACCTCGACATTTCGCGAATTGCGACTGCGGACGGAACGCGACGATCGTCGACCGTCGGCAGTCGTCCAATTTCTCCCCTCCTCCCCACCGTCACCATCCGCAATGCCGCTGTCACGTGACGGAGGAGGCTCCGGCCTGCCGCTCCTCCAGACCGGCCGACACAGCTGTTGCGCGCCACCACGCGGCTGGCAGGTGGACGGGAGCGACGGCCCGCCTCCTCCTCAGCGCCACCCTCCCTACGGCTCCGCGGGAGGTGTCGGGTGCGGAGAGGAGAAAGAGCGCCGGGGAAGCGACTTTGGCTTTCGGTTTCGTCCGCCGGAGAAGACGAAAAGGCGGAGGGTCGAGGTTAACCCGTCGTTTCCGGTCGCCGTCGACGTCGAGATTAAGGATCGGAACGAAACGTCCGCCGCCGCCGGCGACGCCGGCGCATCTGCCGCCGCGCCGAACGGTCACGTGGTGGAAGCAGGGCGCAGACTCGACCCTTCGGCGCTTGCGCGCGCAGTGGGCCGAGGAGGAGAAGAAAAGCCCGGACGCCTCTCGCGCCGGTCACCAGACAACGGCGGCGATGGCCATCGGTAAGTGTCGTTCGCCTTTCGCTCCGCGCTCGTTCTCCCTCCTTTCCAGCCACTCCGGCGGCCCTTCCAGTCCCTCCCCGGCCCCGGGCTCCAGTTACGGGCCAGTCCCGACCCGCCTCTCTTCGGGGGCGTTTGTAGATTTTATTTCGGGAGAAGACGGCTTACGTAAGAGGAGGGAGCGCGAGCCAAGAGGCGCAAAAATTGCGGGGCGGCGCCACCTCGCGGCGGTCGGACCGTTTTCCCGTCCTTTTACTCGGACCGGAGTTTGTTACGTGCCGGAGTTGGTAGCGCGGGCCGAAACTTTCTTCCGCCGCGCCGAGTCGTTCCGGCGCTTCGTTCTTCGCGCAACAGTTCGGCCCGTCGCGAGGAGGGAGGATATCGACTTCGACCGCGACCGCCGTTTTCGCTCGACTGGAGCCAGAACAAAAAAGATTCGATTTTCCGTCGTTCTCGGATTTTTCCGTTTCTCTCCGACTTTCTCTTTTCATTTCTTCTTCTCTTTCTCCCGGCTCTCTTCTTCCGGCCAACCGCTTCCTTTTAATTAATTAAAATTCTAACGCATTGGTTTTCTTGGCGCGCGCCTTGGGCGCGAACTCCTTCGTCTTGGCCATTGTCGACGATTTAGACAATCGCCGGTTGTTTGTCCGTTTTCAAGAAACGACGTAACTCCTTTTCCCTTACGAGGGATCGAATATTCCCCGACCAATTTCGAGAGAAATTAAATAAATAAATAAATAAAATCCGGTCCGAACAACGTCCCGGAGAAAGATTCGGTTGCGAAAATTGCCCCTTAACCGGGAAAGTGCTGGAGCGAAAATCGTAAGTCGAAGCATTTCCGTCCCGTAACGGTTTTAGTAGGTTATCGACCGGAAGAAGTCGGAAATTTCGAGCGGAAGAAAAAACGAGAAAGTGAAAATCGCCGAATAATAAATGCGTAATGGCCGAGAGGGGATGCGGAGAATGGATTAGGAATCGGAATTGTGGGGCCACGATCCTTTCGTTCTTCACTTTCCAAGACGGGGGGGGGTTCTTTTTTACGTGTCTCTAAAGAATATATCATAGAATATTCTTTTGTTTCCAACTATTCGAATAGATTTGGAGTTTATAATGCCGTCTTTGCACCCCTTTTATAATTGATAACCAGTTGTCCGGGAACCGCTATTCTGGGGTGTGTAGTTTATTGTGAATTTTAATAGTTACTTACTATACGATTAAGGCCGTAACCGAAAATAAACTTTAAAGATGTTCCCACATAAAAATCAAGTTTAATTTTCGATATTCCGACACTAAATTTCGATATTCCGACACTAAATCTCGGAATTAATCGCGAGTGTTTTTTTAACGTTTTTTCTTGTGTAAGTAAACAAAAAATGTGCCGGTTCAATTGTAGAAAAAAAAGAGTTTAAAAAAGTATCTAGAATAGTTTCCGGCACTTCCAATAAATCAGAGAGATCCAATCGGGAAGAGCAAAAATAATTAAATTTCAAAGGACGGTCTCAAATGACTTAAAACGCAATCTGTAATTGGTTAGTTTAAAAATAAAAAAAAAAGAAGATAATGGCAAGCTTTTTAAAAGTTTATTCAGATTTTTCACTATAAAAGACGGTAAACTTTTATTGTATTATTTTTTTTTACAAGCCAATGATTAATGTCGGCACATTCGAAAATAAATCTAGAATTTTTGTTGGTAGAAAGGAAAACGTATGATATTTCTTTAGCTAATAATAAAATTAATGTTGTTTGCAATATTAAAGTAACATTAAAGCCAATAAAAGGATAAACAATTGTTTACGTAAACAGAAAAGAAAAAATATTACGGTTTTTACCCCGGAAAAGTAACTTTGATCACCAGAGGGCGTACTTCAAACGTTAATAATAACGCGTTATCGTTGCGAGATTTGGTTTCCGTTAATATTTTGAATTTCGAAAACTGACTTTAGCCCTCTGGTGGACAGGTCAAGAATACATTGTGCGGATGATAATTTAAATAAAAACAATGTTGTTTTAGTTTTCAGAAATGATTTCTACGTATGTAAATAATGAATATTGAATTTATCGTTCGATAAGAACAATGGATTTATCCGCTTATCGAGCGATGTATATAAAAAAAAGTGGGGCCGAAAGCCAACGGGAACGCCGATTTCCGGTTTCTTTTTTTATTTTTATTTTTTTCAAATCGCTGTCTGTCTCTTGTATCTGGTCCTCCCACCCCCATTTTTTCCGGTCGAGCACCTGGCGCTTCACCTTTCTTCTCGACTTGGCATCCACCTGTCCATCGACTTAGCCTTTGGCGTTGCTTCTCCTCCTATTCTTTCTCCTTACTATTTTGAGTGGATGGTAACTTTTCCGGGCCCCGGGCTCACTTTTTGTGGATTCTAGAAACCCACGATTATGTAAGACCCGCGGCTTTCCTCCATCTTTTCGTCTTTGATCATCCTCCATGGTTTATAACGGAAATAATAAGAAGTCGAGCTTGTTCTAACACTTATTTATTCTTCGCAGATCGGGTGGAACTCGTTGTTCCGATGATCCATTGGCAGGAAAAGCTTGGAGCGTGTATTTGGTGGATGGACCTAAACTGGGACCTGCCGTATTGGAAATCAGGCCTGGGCCCACTTATGCCGGAGAAGGGCTGACAGTCAAAGTACAATTGGAAGTAACCGGAACAGAAAAAGGTAAGTATTGTTTTTCTCTAGTAGAAATGGGTCCTACCGAAAGACCTAATCTAAATTCTAAGTCACACACGTTATTAGAAACACCAAATTCTACACCGTATTTTTCACTACATTTCGAAATTAGTTAACACCTGGGAACAATTTATGGTGGTGTCGACGACGATCGATTATATTTTCACCTTCTATTATGGCTTCACTCGAGCGTTAACGGGGGTTTTATTTCATTTTTAGATACGTAAATAACGTTTTAAAACACGAAACTTTTCACGACTCCACCCTTAAGAGCGATGGAAGAAGAAGAAGAAGGGTTGTGCTGTCGTACGCCTTTTTAGAAACACCATTTTTGTCCCGCAGAGTGACGAGACGTCTGACGTAACGATTGATGATCCGAGTTTCCATCATACCGCACGATGCTTAAATAAAATATTATTAACTGTCAGCTAACAATTTATTAAGTAGTCGACTTGCAGCTAACACCAGGATGTTTCGTTTGATCCCCTTTGTTATCGTTTTGTCGATTTTTCTGTTCGGTTACGACCCGTGCCAAGAATTTATTCTTCTCCTATTCGCCTTTCAAATCGTACTTTTCGTCTTATAATTTCTAAAAGTTTTTTTAATAATATTTCTCGTATTAACAAACAAATAATACCCCCCGAGCCCGAGTCTAATGTATTGCCAACCTTTTTTATGATTCACCAAAAGAAATAAATTACAATTCAGACAAAAAAAAAAGAAACGTGTTTAGTTCCTGTTTGGAACCGAACCCACGCCCTTTGATAAGTACTTGTCGTCTAAATTATGGGAATTGCCTTACCGTACATTAAGTAAACCTTAAAATAACACATAGGTAAAATACTTTTTCGTGACTTAATTACATAAAACTGTGACTCACTTTCGCATATGATGTCTCGTGTTCTAACCTCTACTTATAAACCCTGTTACAAGTCGACCCCCCTATAACACTGTTGATAATTCCGTTTTATATGAATTCCATGTTGTACGATTTTACAAATACGTAAAATCTAAGTGATTCGTACAACACGGAATTCATATAAAACGGAATTATCAACAGTATTATAGGGGAGTCGACTGTACTTAGATATACGAAAGTCGATTCGTCAAATAAATACTACACTAATTTTCTGGTCAGAATCGGATTAAGATAATCGAGATATACGAGTTTAAACTCTTAAATAAATATACTGTAACTCTTCGACACATCCCGAACCCGTGTCTAAGAGGATTTGTGGAATAACCGAGGATTATCTTTAGTAACCGGTGCTATCAGGGAAGAAGCAACTCCCTCCATTAAAAAAGTTTCAACTGAAAAGTATTTAGACCTACCAGATTGATATTAGAGAATTAGGTATACATTAGAAAGGAGTTGGATGTATGAATACAGTGTAATAATCTAATACGTATATGTACGATTTAGTGATTATTGTAGGCCCGGTGTTATTTGTGTTAATATACACAACTGCGGGTGTACGATGCGGGAGAATTGTTTTTTAATTGGAGGCCATTTATTTCGAAAGCATTTACGTGCCTTCTTGTTGTATTAGATAATCCGTCGATACGGGATTATCATCGTCGTCGTGTTAAAATCTTCTTCTACGAAGTATTATTAAAATCCGGTTTAACACACGTGAATTTTCCGTAATTTGCATTATGCAAATTACATCGACAAGTATTTTAAGAATGCTGATGCGACCGGACGAGAAACACTTTGTAAGTGTTCCTAATTCCCTTTTTTTGGTGTACTTTTGCCGAGAAAATCGTTGGATTTATTCAAAAGAATGCTCTATTTTTGTATAACAATCTTATCATTATTTTTAAAAACGTTAATTGATCACAGATATTGGTATATACCCCCAGTATATATACATAGATACAGAGAGACATACGCGAAGACGAACAAATACAGTACACGAGGACACATACTAACAGATGTAAGCAGGTAATGTACTATAAGTAAATATATACAAACACGTGGCTATTTAAGAGAACAGGGATCTAAGTTATGTATGGGTGTTCCATAGCTATGACGTACATAAACGAGTCCAATCGTAGGACCTTTTACGAACAGTACAGTACATAGACTTATTATACCGTTGGATGGTAATGTCGGGTACAAATATACGAAACGTTTACAATAGAACTAGGGTGGTATGCCAAGTTTTACTGGTGTCTAAAAACCACTTTTGTCGTGAACGATGGCCAATTTGGCCCACAAGGATCTCGTAGAAGCGCACATACATAATCAAAAACAGACATGTACAAATACAGACATATTCATTGTACTGTACGGTACATATACACGGCATATGGATAAACACACCAGCACATTCGGACTTATACACACGAGACGGATATTACGTCAATAAGATACATATCAATCAAAACCTTTACATCGATTTTTTTACACGAGGAGACGACATTCTCCTCGTAAGAGACTCGAATCGATTAGTGGATTAATTAATAAATATTTAATTGTATTAATAAATGCTAATTAAGTAATTAACTAATTACCGTGGTAAGTTCGAATTATCTTTTTTAAATTCGTATGAAATCATTTGTTATCTGCGGTTGTAGGTCATCCCCGAAAGACGTGGGTTCGGATCCTCCCCCCCGCATCAGATACGAACCCACGTCATTCGGAATCATGACAAATGCAATGGTGTAGAGATTCATTTCCTTACTAAATAAAGGGTGGTGTGTTTGTAAGTCATCACGAGACGTTTTTCAAAAACTGACAATGCTTTCGGAGATAAACTTATAAAAGGTTTACTGTACTTTTAAAGAATATATAACTTGACAATTACCTAACTTAATTAATTAATTAATTAAGTCAAGTAAAGTAAACTTTATTACACAAATTTTCACGTAAAAAAACTCTATGGCGTTAACATTGTTAATTAACTTTTTATTGTTCTCTTCTGTTCGTTCTAATCTGAGAATCTCGGGCGATACTTCGCGAATATTTTGCGACTCGCGCGACAAATATACTTTCGTCTTTACGTAATTATCGAATGGTTCAGACGTACTTGGTGGGTTTACGGGTCGAAACTTATGTAAAATGTAGTGTTTTTTTTTGTATGAATAGGAAATATGGCCGTCTGTCTGTTGGCTTCGATTTAGTTCTCTTTTGTGCCAACACGAAAAAGGGCGTGTCCTCTTCACCCGTCTTTCGACACCTCTGCCGTGTTAATAAATTATTTCTATTCTGTTTCAAAACCCGGTCTCATTGTTATGGAGTAAAATATAAAATTATGTACAAAAGGGGAAACACAGGAGTGAAAAAAACCGGGTACAAAACTCAATTAGGCAACAGCAAAACCCCCTCTTTAGTGTGACGTAAATGATCTTTTTGTGACGGAGTTAAACGACTGTTTGATTATTTGTATTTGTATTATTCACTTTATTAAGGTTTATACAGGGCTCGACATCGTATTAATTAGTAAGCGTAAGCATGATTTTATTGTTTACAAAAGTATGGGAGAAAGGAATATCCTGGGGCGAATGGAAAAACCCAAGCGCTGCTGCTACTAACACAGACTGGTTTAACTTTGCTGTATTAAGCTACTACGTGCAAATTCGTAGATAGGATCCGTGTTCTTCGCGTAAGTTCGGTTAAGAAAAAGAGGAGGATCGGTTGTATTGGCAAAGAACGATGCTTCCTTTGCATTTTTCGGATAGGTGCGCCCGTGATTTACTTAACAGAAGGCTCTAGAATAAAGTGCATTTTTTTTCGAATGTTATCGTCTGGGTAGCCGAGTGAGGGCCAATCGAGGAGGGAGGAAGACCCCCGTCGCCCGCCGCCCGACCGGACCGCGGATGGGCGTCGTCCGGCCATCGATCGGCCGGCTATTGTCCGTCCGTCCGGCTTTATCGGCAGAATTTCTCTTCGATTGTGTCGTCACGTACGGACGACCTCCGGACCGCTTCCTCCCTTCCCCTCCTCCTCTTCCTCCTCCTCCTCCTCCTCCGTCGGCCGGCGCCCGGAATCGGTAATCCCTCTGGGGGAATCTCAACTCTTCCATCCCCGAATCCTCTGCTGGATAATGACTGCGCGTGTTCTTCTCCAGTATTGGCCGTTCCTTTAAGAAAATTTTAATTTAATTTGTTCTTTTTCTTTCTCTTGTCCATTTGGTGCCGTCTTCTGTTACCAGTGTTTTTTCAAATGTTTGTTTACTCGTTTCCGATGTCACCATTAGACGATTGTGTTCCATATCCATCGAATAGGATACGATACGCGTGGAATAGAACGTATGTGCGAATCGCAAATTTCCTTTTCTACCATAAAATAATCATTTATGACTGAAAGTTCTCACTCGCGACAGTTAAAATGGAATCCGAACCTACGTCTTTCGCTAAAATTACTTAAGATACCGGGATACATTCGTCACCGTATTGAAGGATATGGGTTCGATTCCTATCCGGGGTCAAAACGCATTGTTTTTTTTTTTCTGTCTGGGAAACATAATTTATCGATTTATCGAATCCATCTACAAAACTCGGATAACCGGTTCTTAGAAGGAAATCAAATAGAGAAATCTAGATGTTTTTCGATTCTTACTACGCAAATAAATGCTAGCGATGGGAGAGATGCCCCAAAATTGTGTTTGGATTAAATTTTGGACACGATATGTGGGTTGTATGTCTAACCTCAATGTTACCGTTATCGACTAAAAGGCCGGTAAGTCGGAAAACAGCATTCGGATCCGAACTAAACACGAAATATTCGAGACTTTGAGTCAGATTCGAACCCATTTCTTATATTATAAATAAATATATAGGCCAAAACTTGGCATTTCAATTATTCTTTACTTTTCTTTCCTACTCTTTTATATTTGCTTAAAATAAATAAGATTCGCGACGTCCATTCTTCATACGATCGCCATTTTGTTTTTAGTCAAGATCGTCTTACTACTGCCTTCTCCTATTAATAATTTAAGTTATATATAAGCTATGTAATTAATCGAGTGATAAATAGGTAAAATAAGGAAACAATATCAAGAAGTTTCCTTAAAATTTATATTTAAATAATTATATAAAATGAATGATACACGCGACAACACGGGGTCCTTTATTTCTTCAAAATAAAAATACAAGCACACATCGGTCAATTGTAATTTTCTAGTTGTACACCTAATAAAACTTTTATTTCACGTTATTGTTACTATAAATTTTTGATTAGTTTAACGTGTTAAATGTTATAAAGTTTAATTGTAGTTTTTTTTTTTTTAAATATCGTGTTAAAAATTGGAATTAAAATTTTTTATTCTCGATTATAAATTGGCATTATTTTCCTGGTAAATTAAAATAATTATATTAATATTTATAATTGGAATTTTGATTCAAGGCATTTTATTTTCACCCCCACAAAACTAAAAACTTTATATATCTTCCGTCTGTTTTGCATATACATTAATGTATTTTTAATTGCAATTAAATATTTATTATTCACATTTTTCGTAGTTAATTTCGTGCCAAGTAAAAAGAAAGAAATAAAAAAAAAAGTTCTTCGAATGCATTTTGAATTTTTTCCTGATAAAATTTATAGAAGAAATTTTTTAAACACTTACTTTTGTAAATTTTTGTGCAGAGGGCGCTTTACGGAAATCGTCGCGGGAACTGGAATTTACTCGCTGTCGTTCTCAGGCGGCGCTGCGCGACCGGCCGCGCAGCGCCGCCTGAGAACGACAGCGATCCGCACAGCGCCGCCTAGTAACGACGGCGAGTAAATGCCGCGGGTGCGGAGGATACACTTTTAAGTCGAATTGTTAAGAGCTTGGAGTAAACGGATGCGGCGGGCGTTTCCATCAATCGTTTCTTCCCCCTTTTCCGATGGTTTTGCCGCTTTCCCGAACGACGCGAAAATACCACTTTCGGGCCGCGGGTGGCGCCGCGATTCGACGGAAACCCGCGGGAGGTCGGAGAGCGGCGGATCCCGGAAGGAGGGGCCCACCCGCCGCCTTCTGGCCGAAACGGCCGAGCGTGGCCTCGCCGAATCATTAAACCGCGGACACCCGCCGTTCGTACAAGAAACTTCCATTACTCGTGGCGCGCCGCCGCGCGACGTCGCCTGCGATGCGCCAGCCTTTTTTGCGGTCCTTTGTACTTCTTTTTTTTTGTTTACTTTGCCATCAATTTAGATTTTTAATGTAAAACTTCACTTTCGATAGAATTGAGCCGAGAGTTTTGAAAGGAAAGGTTTGGTTGGGGGGAGGAGGAGGAGGCAGTGGTTCGGCGCGTCCGGCTAGAAAGGGAGATAGGATTGGGCCAGTCACGGCCCGTTCCCGCCCGAGAAGGGAGAGTTCCGGATTCCGGCATCCGACCACCGAATGCCGATGATATCGTCCGCACAGATAAGTGGGCGCGGACACAATGGACGGCGGCCAGACGCCGCACTCTCTCTCTCTCTCTTCACTATCTCTAGTCTGCTCCCACCCCCCAGCTATCCGGTGGCTCTTCTTTTTCTCCTTTCCCCTTCGTCTACCCTCTGACGGTCGATAGCTCCATTCTTGTTTCGTTGCGGTCGGGCCCTCCAAAGAACACCCCTTCAATCGGGTGGTTACCACTCCAATTAACTCTTGTTTTACTCTTACAGGGGTTCGACTTCGTCTCTTCGTCACTTGGGAGATGGACGAACGATGCTCGGCTAGAGAAATCGTAGAGGTGACAGAAAAGGGACTTTCCGGCTTGGCTTGGACCGCGAAGATACCCTCTCCCGGGACGCACGTGATAGGTGAGTCGGATTTGACACATTCGCGCGCGATTTATTCCTCCCCCCGACGATAGCACGAGATATGATTCCAGTTGCTCGACGGGATAGATTTAAGTCAAGCAAGTAATGGGTTATATCCCGTCATACAACTCGGATCGGAATAGGGTCCGGTATTATGAACTCTTGTTTATGTAAGGGTGGGTTGTGTTTGAGAAAATACGATTGGCATTTATCTCTCTTCTTTATGTTTGGTGTCGGTGTTTCTTTTAGGAGGAAGACTGCCCGAAGAGTGTGGAAAATCTGTTAGGAACAATTGAGAATCCATTACATAATATTTTCATCTGTAAAGAAGCATTGTTTCGTCTTTCCGGTTGTGTCATTGTTTCGTAATATAGGGGATGGGTATAATAACGTATGAATAAAACAACACGTCTAAAAATGTCACAGGTCAACGTCTCTAGTGTGTAACCTTTCTATAAGTTGTATAAATAAATACGATTTATATATATCCTTATATACTCGTACAGTACACGGTAACGAACAACGTTACGCTACTATTTTGGTGTAACGTTTTCACTAAAGTCCTATTCGAAAACGTATTGTCGGTCACCCTTCGTAAACATGTTATGTAGTTACGTTCCTTGCATACGATTTTAAATCTCGACCACTGTACCGGAAACCGAATTGTTCGTCGTACTAATTACCTTAATTACTTTTAACGGCTGCGGTTGGCAACACTGGTGGCTTTATGATAATTTGTTTCCGGACGGAAGTGGTCCCCGGCCGCCCACTTACTTTCCGAATCGACCTTTGTCCCCCTTTTGGTCCGCAGTAGTATTTTAAGTGGGAGCGAGAGAATGCTGGCCCCATTCGATCCTAAAGGTGGAGAAACGTGGAAAGTCGACCCCACGGGTCGGGCGAACAAAAATTTAATACTAGAGTCAAAATGGACGGGCGAAAAATTTAATAAATATACGAGTAGCGAGGAAGCGGGCAAATCTCGTTAAAGCTCGGCTGCCACTCTAAGTGCACTTTCCTCTCCACTCCGTGTTTACACAAGCGATGCCCCGCTTCTCCCTCCCGCTCGCAGCCCTCCCCCGACAGTTGGCGCGCTTTTAATTACTCGACAAGTAATTAATATGTGTTACTCGGACCGGGCGGCGCCCGGTCCCTCGCCCTCTCTCTCTCTCACACCTCGCGGTGAGACGGGAGAGCGCGGAGGGAGCTTTGCGGTTTCGGGCCCGCGGGCCGGCCGCGTCTAGTGTGACGTCGACAGCTGCGACGGCGGCGGCGCGCGACCATCTGCCGTAGCGCTTTATCTCGTTATTAAAACGGCGCGTGTTTGCCCACGGCTAGAGAACCGGCGGCGCTCTCGAGAGGCTCTTTCGTTAATTCGAACGGTCCGACACGAGTGTGTCTGCAAACAACGGCACCTGTCCACACTTCCTCACCTGCCTGTCCGTTTCTCTTCCAGGTGTGGTCGTCGACGCGGGAGAGGGCGTGGTGTCCGCTCGACGCCGAGTGACGGTGTCCCCGCCAATCCCGTCCGGCCTGAAGGTGACCTTGCATCCCGAGGTGAAGGAAACGCCCACCTGCGTACCTTCCCATCTTCCCCCGGGTCACGTGACCGTGTACACCGGAAGAAAAGCGCGCCTGGTGGCGTCGGTGGAGACGGGATGCGATCCGACTTTCTCTTGGCGCGTGGACGAAGAGGACCCGTGGGAGAGCGGACCCTTCCCCGGCGGATCTGGATTGTCCCTTCGGAGGAGCGTCTTGGTGAGTACTTTTTTTGATTTTTGCCCCCTTTCTCTAATTTCGGGGTGAATCGATAGGACGATTGCTAGCGTTGATCGATCCCTCTGCCGGGTTTGAAATTCGGAATAGGATAGAAAGAGTTAGAAATCATCACCCCCTACACACCGTTAATGGATCTTTGTTTCCAATGTACCGCCAAAGTTAGTCTCGGAGACAGTCCTTCACCCAATTTAATTAACGTTTACAGATGACACGCGTTGAATGTTGATTACGCGTTTTTCGGGTCGGACAAGAAACTCTTTGTCACTCTTCACTCGGTTTTCCCATTTTTGGGTGCCGAACACCTCATTATAAACCCAATGGAACCGTAAAAGTATGTAACTTAGTTATTCTTTTTCCTACAACGCTTTGTGTCATGGAACATTCAGATAATTTTTCTCTGAAATCTCTCGACGATCATAAGTGACTTTGTGTGCCAACCCGGAGAAGAATAGTTTTTCATCCCTCTACTTTAAATTCTACTCTTCCAACCTGCGTTGTACAGTGCATTGAAGCCAAGTTAGGTGAACGTAAGGATTGTTTTCTTAGAGCAAAGTCGAAACAGTTGTAAAAACATGGCGCCGATTGGCAAAAATTGGTCGCTACGGTTACGCTCACGTGACCGGATACGGGGTCGAAGTAGAGCAGCTGCGTCGAAACCTGCCAGGGCACGGAAGGAAAAGGTAAATAAGTTTGGACTTGGATCCGCGGTCCATAGGCCGCGTAGTTGACAGTGTGTTTGGAAGACATCCGGAAAGCTTCGTGACCTTTCGAATTCTCTACCGAGGCGAAAACTTTTCCAAGACCCCCCTACGAAGAAATTCCTAGTTAAATTCGATCGATGCCGAGTGTTTCCGAAAGGATTTGGCTTGTGATCAACAGATTCTTTTCCGAGAAAAGCTCCCTATCTTCTCGTGTTTTAAACCTTGTGTAATTACCAAACACGGACCGAAATTACATTAACGAATTGGCCCTGTCTCGTAAAATGCCGAAAGATCAGTGATTCGAGCTTTGTAGTTTCGTGCGGTTTTCCCCGTACACCTGGACTCCCCGTTGTCGCTTGTGTTAGGCGTGATGCGAAGGGGTGTTCTTAAAGCTCTTCCGGAGCGGAAAGATAACACTAGAGAGTGAGATAAGAGCGGGCCGGCATTTACATTTCTCGGTTACGGTTTGCGCGCGCCGTATATTTGGAGAGGAAAAAGAAAGAGTCCCGGTGGATTCGTCGCTCCCTCTGTCGACTGTTTCCGGGCCCCCGAGACTCACCCGCGGCGAGATGTTTGTTTTGGCACCGGGTCGGAGACGGAAGCGACGTCTTTTGTCCCGCCATCAAAAGACTCTTTGTGACGTCTTCGCATTTCGGTCGACGTAACGCGGAGGGAGGAAGCGATGGCTTTTCTAACCTCCGTCTCCCTCCTTCTCCCTCCGGACGCGTCGCACGCGCCGCGAAACCGGCGACGGAATGGAAGAAAATAGGGCCGTAATTAAAATAATCTGCTTTCCGTAGGGCCTCTCGGAAGAGCGGGCGGGCCCTAGAAGGGCGTCGGCAACTAGCCGCTAATTAATTCCGTCCGGCGAAACAATTACCCACGTCGTTAATTACCTCGAGCCGGTGTACGCCCGATCTGGCTTCCCCTCGATCGCATCTGTTTTCCATCGCCATATTGAAATCCGTTGCTTTCTACGCCGCGATGACCACGTCTTCGACCTTTGTTATCTTCTCCTAGGAGTTGATTTCGGGAAAAGTCGCTTAGCGCGTGGGGTGCTTCTCGCCCCATCGCTTCGACCTAGCAAATTTGTTTCGGGTTAGTTTCAGAAGAACATACAGTCCCAGAATCCTTTACAACTACGAAACTCTCTTGTTTTTTTTTTTTGCAGGAACACACCTTTGGTCGGGAAGGAGTACATCGAGTTTCTGTCAACGTCAGCAACCTGCACGGATGGGTCCATCGATCGATCTCTGTGGTGAGTGTTATCTGCCATGTCATCTTTCCCTCGAAAGGCGGCGCCGGCGACTGTCGTTCCGTCGCGTCCGACACTTCCGGCAGGTGCTCTTTTTTGTCTGTACCCACTCGGAACCGAGTCGTCTTCACCGCCGAATCGACCGCTTCCGTCCTTTCACTTTCATTTTCTCTGTGTTTTTGGCAGGTGGCCGTCGACTATCGGATGTCGGATGCCGTCCTCAGATCGCGCAACGGACATCGTCACCCCAGCGACAGTCGAGTGACGTTCCTGTTGACCGTCTTCACCACGCACCACGTGGCCACTCGTCTGTTGCTGCGACCGGGCGATGGCACCCAGTTACGTCACACGCTACAAGTGGGAGCCGACGACAGGGATGTTTCCGTACGTCACGATCGACGTTGTCGCCTGTCGGCCGAAATACACCACACTTATAACGAAGAGGGAGAGTTTCATCCCCTGGCTCTAGTGGATGACGGGACGGTTCGAATCGAAGCTCGAACCTCTCGCGTGTTGAAGGTGTGCCACAGACTGGACCACGGAACTTTGTCGGGCAAAGGTGTAATTCCTACCGGGTCGTCGTTGAAACTAGCTCTACACCTGAATACCCGCAGCCTGTGTGACATCAGAGTGGACTGGAGGTTGCTGGAAAGTAATCGCACCGTTCTGTTCTCGAAGAATCGGAAGATCGAGTGGTCTCCGAGAATTCGGCGAGCGGGAACCTACACGGTGGTGTCCACGGCTAAAAATCCCGTGGGAAACGTCACCTTTCGTCACGAGGTTAAAGTTCAGGACCCCGTACGACGTCTGAGCATTCGAGGAATCGGTTCTTATTATCCTACTGGGATACCTTTTCGACTGGTTGCGGTAATCGGAGGGGGCAGCCACGTTACCTGCGGCTGGTCGACGGGTTCCCACTCGGATTGGCACAAATGGGAGGGTCACGGGGGTTGTAGGGCCATCTGGACTTTCTACAAAGCGGGAAACAAGAAGATCGAATTGGAAGCGGGCAATCTGGTGGGACGCAAAAAGACCGGAGGGAGGATAACGGTGGTGGAACCCATTCACGGTGTCTACGTGTCTCTGGAAGATCCCGCCTCTTCGAAGAGACCCTTACGAATCGAAGTATTAGTTCTGAAGGGCAGTCACCTAAATGTTACCTTCGACGGAGGGATGGTCACTCGAGTTGGACGCGGACGGTTCTTGCTGACCGGATCCGAACCTTCTCCGGGAAGACACATTCTAGATCTGGTATTATCCAATCCCGTGGGAGAACATCGCACGCGGGTGGAAATGAGGACTCGTTCTCCCTTATCCGAGGATCTACGCCCCACCATCCTTCTCCAATCTGCATATCGTGACTCGGCCACCTACCGCGTTGATTTTTCAGGTGAGACAATTCATTTTTAAGATTCGAGGGTGACGAAATGGCCGAAAGACAATATTGTTGGATAGTTGCCGACCACAGTCTGGTCACGCAGTTAATTATCAATACATTCGCGTATAGACGTAAGATAGGTTATTTCGTAATGCAGATTGGGTTTCGGGCGGGTGTATTGTCGCTATCTCTTTGTAATTTCGTCTGGGCGCCGTTCTCGAATGACCCGACAACACCCGAAATCGCACTTCTTCCCTCCTTTCGTTTAGTCCTGCCTATAAAATTATTACTGTGGAACGGAAACGGAAAGGTTGTTGAAGACATTTCATATTCCTCACCCTGTTCGGATTAACTTCGACTCTCATCCTCCTTACAATAGACGAACAATACCTAAAATCTGCATGCATTGTGACATTCACCAAGCTTTTATTAATGCATTTGTTTGCTATTAAGACAATCAAAACTAGGATTGGTGTTAGCGGATAGAAGGGAAAAGTTCTACTTTATTGTTATCTCGCGCTGCTTTTATACAGGGAGAGGTTATCTGGAAGAGTTCAGAACGGAACCTTTCGAATCCATTAATATAGATTTTCCATAATTTTACTCCCACTTTTGTCGATTGTCACGACCTTCACTTCCGGGTGCTTCTCGGATTTTTCTTCCCTCTCCCCGATCCTCTCTCCCTTTCTCTTCCTCCGGCAGTTAAATGCGCCACTAACTGGTGTCAAAGCGGGACAGAGAGGGAAGCGCGGTCCCGGCGGGGGTCGTTCATAAATATTCAACGAGGAGGTGGGGAGGAACGAGCGAAGATGGCGGGAGAATTATCCCGAGTCCTCGTTTCGTTACGACCATTACGTTGATTAAAAGAGAGTTGGGCTCGTAAGCCCTGTGGGTTCGTTATGGTACTATTCTGTACTGTATGTTTTACGTAATGTACTACGTATTATTCTCCTTAGATCGCGCGTGGAAGGATTTCGGGCCGATGCGGGTCGTAAACGTTAGAATCAGATCCGCGGGCCGCTCGATGCGACCTTAACTCGGCGACGTATCTACAAGTTATCGCCTGTCCGAGCGGGAGGAGGAAGAGGGGGGTGTCTTCGACCGTCCGACGGCCGCAACAGTTGACGGGAGAAATTAGGCGCGCCGGCCATCCATCACCCCGCGCGCACGCGCACCGCTCCCGATCGATGGCGGAGGCCGCGCGCATTCTCCCTCCTCTCCACAAACGGCTCGTCACCCGGCCACCGCCGGTTGTTGCTCCGCAGCGGTAAGTTGCCCCTTATTTCGTTTCGGCCACCTTTCGTTTTCGGTGGCGGCGCCCGGGGGCGGGTCCGGAGTCGGAAGCGGGCCCACGTAAGGCACGTGACTAGTAGGTGAAACCTAGTTTCCGCGAAAATGGCGGCGCGGTCTCTCTCTCGCCCCGGCGGGCCCTGTACTAACCTATCATTCTCTCGCTCTATCCTTTCCAGCGCTCCGGTGGGGACGAACAACCCCCCCTCCGCCTGTCGCCCTAATTTATCGATGGTGTGTTTCGTAAACACTCGAAGAATCGATTGAGCTATTAGCTCTTTTTTTCCATCTTTAATCGGCGACGAAGAGGGCGAACTGTAAGGTGGGGTGCTCGTCCCCCTTTCTGATCTTTACACGCAATTATCATACATAACTGCTTTTCACCCGATCCGCGTGAAGTAAGTTCCCGGAAGGGGGATAGTAAAATCTTTATACATTGTTTCGAATCACGTTACGGAGGCGTAAAAGTTCCCTCCCGAACGTAAACACTCTTAACTTTCCGTTCTACGTGTTTCGACTGTCGCGATCGTTAACTATGGACACTCGCGAGCGAGAATTGTCCCGTAAATCCCATTCGTTCCTCTACTCCTGCCAAGTTCGCACCCCCGTCGAGAAAAATCTCTCGTTTCCTCGCGACGTTAATCGAATTTTAACTAAGAACGGAGGTTAAGCGGGTCCATCGTCACACGAAAACTTGATAAACGTAACGCGCGTTGCGTGAAGTCTTCCTAGCGATAATTATTAATACCGGTTTTTTCTTTTGTTGGAGAGAAGCGTGACGAAAACTTTAACATTAGAGGTGTTTAATATGTTATCTCGAAGATCGTGACGTGCGTTTTCTCGTGTCGCGTCAAAGACTATATCCTTCGCTGATTTAATTATTCCCCATTTTTCTCTCCTCGCGGCGCGGCGTTGCCATTAGCGCCGCGGCGCGATACGGCGCGCCGAAGAACGACGTGTTTCCGTAATCGGATTTCGCCAAGCTAATTAACACTAATGACGCTTTCTAATCGAATCGAGAGAGAAAACGTCGGCTGTTTCGTCACTCTCTTCGTTTGACCGCGAGATAATCGAGACTTGTCACGAATTAATCCCGAAAGGCACGGCGCGGATCGTGACGAACCGACTTTACGCGCTTACGTAACGTCACGAAATGTCGCCCCTCTGACTTTTCGGATTGACAGACGGATAGAGGGAGCGCCGAGTGGCCGTGACAGGAAGAAAAAAATAACACGAGTAAAGCCGGGAGTTTGGCCTTCGGGCGTTTGCCGAGTTGTGACGAGTCCGGTCGAGTGTCAGTGCAGTTTTAGCACGTCACGAAACGGAGCCCGACTCGTCACGAATGTCAATTGATAGCAGTCACGCGAAAGAAGAGGAGGAAGACTGACGGGTTGTTATGTAAGATTCGCCCAAACGTGAAGGCAGGAGGGAAAGGAAGAAGTGGGGGAGGAGAGGATGGATGCACGGAGAGAGAGAGCTTTTAATAGATGTTCTGTGGCGAATCTACATCCCTCCTCCCGCTATCTGTTCATAATAGCCAAATTTTATTACACGAAACGACCCCCCTTTCGTACGTAATTGGAATATTTGCGCCGAATATTTATCGGGACGATAATATCCACCCCTATCGTTTACCCTCCCTCTTACTCTCTTCTTCTTTTTTTTCTGGATAGGTTCTTCTACCGAGAAGCTGTTGTACCGCTGGAAGGCACCCTGCTGCCAACCACTATACACCAGCTTGCCTATAGTGGACTGGAAGTGGACCCGGCACGTGCAGCTGACCGTCGTCAATGCGAGTAAGCTTTCTTTTAATTATCAGAAGGGTGGTCCGGATGAATACCCGCATCATCCGGGTTGGGAAAAACTGGATCGGGACCACCCATCGGCTGGAAACGGACCGCCCGATAAAACCGGCGGAGCGCGACGCTTCTCCTGTCATCGAGCCGACTCACCTGTCACGCTCACCTGGACCGCCTCGAATCTCCCCGACGATCGATCGGAGTGCCACCCCGCCACGCGCTCTCCCTCCGACTACGCCCTTTTCTAAAAGTCCCCGCTGGGTTTCCGTGCCCGAGGGCTTCCGGACGACGTACGACGAAAGAATGATACCCTTCACCTCCCCCCTCCCGTTGGCTGCAGGCTTTCTTGACTCGTCTTCGTTTTGACAGGCTCGTCACGCGTGGCTCGAGGTGCATGTTTTCCAGACGCCAACCGCTTGTTGAGGTCTCAACTCTCCCCCTATTAATCCCCTCCCCCGCTTAGTTTCACTCCAACACTTCTTTTTCGAGTAAATTGCCGTCTCCAAATCACAAACCATGCACTGTAAATCACACTTTTTTCGGGCGACACGCGACTCTTTTTGCGACAGCGATAACGAATGCGATAGCGATCGATTTTACTTCGACACGTTTAGCGTAAATGCAGATAAAGTGATTTGGCAGTGTGGGTGGCATTGTCACGCGCACGAAAAATGGCGATTTCAACGCGCCTTAAATGGTTTTCCGACTTCCAAACGGCAGTCTTCCGCCCGATGAACACCGAGCGAGCTCATTCGCGACGTTGCGATTTTCTATCGCCAGCGAGATTTTTACCTTTCCTCATTAATCCATCGAGCCGTTTTCAACCTTGTCACGTTTTATCTTATCTTAATCGTTGTCCCGCACGCGACGTTGCTCCGTCGGGGAGCGACGCGATAAACTAGAGGTTTTTAGCAACACTTTTCTATCGGACAGAAAGGATCGCGTCGATCAATGGTTGCGAGGAAGAAGGGCAAACATTCTTCTCGTCGGATGTGGTATTATTACTAAGCTTCGAGGGGGAAAAAATTGCCAAGACCAGCACAATGGCGTCGACCCAACGATAGGTAAGCGTCGAGGCTCTCGCGATTCTCTAGGGACACACGTGACGGAAATAATATTTGGCGAGAAAGACAAACAAGTCGCTCGCATCCCCCATTTGCCATTGGGTTCCGAGATGCGAGAATAGCGAGACACGAAGTTTTCTTTTGTTTTGTTTCTTTTTTTTTTCCTCGAACTCCCCTTCGTGACTGGCCCGGGTAGCAGAAAGGGCCTTCCTGCAGGTGTGCCGCTACCTACACGCACCCTTTCCCTCCGTAATTATAGCCTGGGAGTTCGGATGCGACGGCGCAAAGCGGTGTTTCTCGCGTTCGATTTTTACCGTTATTTTTACCGCTAGTCTCGTAGAATAAGCGAGAATTTTTTTACTGTATTTACCGCGTTTAACGGGCCAACTCGTCAATCTTTGAAAATCGGGTGCACTTCGTAGGAGTAACACAAAGCTATCAAATTGCAGGTTGTAGGTGGAGATTATACAGAATTAAATTCCTTCTTTTAACAATAGAAAATTCTCTTACTTGTGGGTGTGGACGATCCGTTGTTCTTACTTTCTTGTTTTCTTTTCTCTGCCGGGAAAGAAATAAAAGGGTTTTAATACGTGGTATTTGTAATTATAAAGCCCTATAAGGATTAATAGAGAAGTTGCGGCCGAAGTTTTCATCTGTAAAACGTAAACGTCGAACGTTCGACGTGCTCGTTCGAACGTTCGAACGTCGAGCGCTGTACGACGTTCGAACGTTCACGTTTTAGCGATGAAAACTTCGGCCGCAACCTCGCTTACGAGTGAATTTCTGTACGTATGACGTCACAGTATATATTTAAAGTGACGTAATTTAAAAGGGATTACTTCATTCCGATTGGTTGTGGACATACATACGCTTGTTACCTAGTTTCTCACTTGTATTCTTTCAATTCTTTACGTTAACCACGAGTCAAATAGCATAGTTTTCTTACGATTACGTCTATTATTTTCTTGTACCCTATACTCGAAGGGTGAAGGTTGATGACGAAGAGTGCTCTGCTCTGTTTTCTTCCACGTAACGTATGTATCTCGAGTGTTTACGAATAATTGAAATCGGCAAATTGTTGTTGATTATGACTCTTCCATTTTAATCGCCAGATAAACTTCCAATTACGCCGGTTACAATCGATTACGTGACCATTCCGTGACGAATAATATAATATGTCTGGCCATTTAATTCTTTAAATTATATTCCGATGAGATTTATAAAATATATTTCCTTTAATTTATTCCGAAAATTACAATGGAAAGATGTCTGACAAAGAATAATACCACAGAACCCATTGTGTGTAAAAATTCGTATTGGGGATAGGATCTTAATCCTTTCTACACTGTGAAAGAATTTGTGGGTGGAAAAGGGGCCCTTTCTCCGCATCTCCTTCGTGTGACGTAAAAGAATAAGCACGTGTGACGTAGAGAAAATGACGTAAATTTAATCTCATTTCGATAACGTAACGACGGGGTCATATCGTGATGTGTTAAAGTTGACGAATCCGTCACGCATTTATTAATTTTTAATACCGTTGATACGAGAGATTGACGGATAGTTGGGTGTTTCGATGGTCACGTGGGCTTCTTTCGATTTCGAATTTCCGGTGGCCACCTGCTGGCGAAAAACCGGAATTTCCGGGACGATAGTGGCGCCGTCTGCGAGGGTGACAAATGGTGGTCCGAGTGGAGAGGTCGAGTACTAATTTGGACCGACAGAACTAATCGAAAGCGGTCCGAGGCCGGGTTATAAATCCCGATTTTCGACTGGCGAGTAATTGAGTCTGTCGTTGAAGAAAGAGACGAAGTGCGGGGTGAGATCTCGAGACCGAAAATAGTTCCGAATCAAGGGATGCTGACGAAAGAGTTGTCATTACTTTCGTAGAAACGGAAATGGGAAGCCATATTGGAAAATAAAAAAAAGATTAAATTTTCGAATGAAATCGTTCGCATTCCACATCTCTCGTTCTCTAATCGCAATTTGTATTCCGGAAGCGCGGAATTCCGCGCTTCCGGAAGTTGCTTTCCGACAATTCGCCAATTAGCCGCGTGGAGGAAACTACTTCCGGGGAGATGATTCGGTTTCGGTTCCGTTTCCGGTTCTAGCTTCCGGTTTCGGCATCACGTTTTAAAGTTTTTTATTTAACAGTTTCTTCCGTGACGGTGGAGGCAGCAATTCCAGAACCAGAGACCCGAATTCCTACTCTTCTTCACTCGTCGGTGGTCGAAGTCGGACGTCCGATCAACTTTTCCTTACAGGTGAGTGCGGAAATGACGTACGGCGGCTCCACCCTCCAGAGAGGGGTCGGATATCGTACCAACCCCCCCGTTTTCCGCTTTGTTATGGTAATGGCGGCCGAGAAACGGCCGCTAGATGTCGTCGGGACGCCCGCTCTGTCCGGTTCCGGCCGGCCTATTGTCCGCTCGTGATTTATGGTCGGAGCGGCATCCTATTATCCGACTTCCTAACTGCGGGGTTAACAAGGAGCCAGCCGCCGGGTAATTGTCGTTCGTAAATAGAGGTGTCCGTTGCCCTAATTGTCCCTCGGACGTCCGACCGGCGGCGGAAGTGACGCATTTTACGATCTCCCGACCAACGGATCCACCGCCCGTCGTAAATATCGAAACTCGACACCTCCTCCTTTTCATCCTCTCGCCGCTTTCTTACTCTCCTCCTGTTCCTCCTCTTCCTCCGCGGTCGTGTGGCCGATCGGGCCGACCGGGCCTCTTCCGCACAGCGGAAAAGTGCGGATGTGACGTCATCCACGCGCTTGGGCCGTCGGCTCTACATATTTGCGTTGGGCGGATGCTCCGAGAAGACCTCTGGGACTCGCTGGGACAACACCCAACTCGGAAATTAATTGACGACGACGACGTCAGGTATTAACTCCACCCGGAAAAAAAAAGCGGGCGCGGAAAGAAAAGATAGTTTGGGTGGAGTCGCTCTTCTTAAACTCTCGCCGAACTGCGCCGGCGACGGTCGAGCAACACCAAGCTTTCCCCCCCTCACCTCTCCCCGTTGTTTATTCCGGGTGGGGAGGAGGAAGGTTCTCTCTGCTCTTCCGCTTGTATATGCCGAGGATGATGGAAATTACTTTGCTAATTACGCGGGAAGCCGCACGTACGAAGTGGTTTGGCCGTTTTCTGTGTAAACGGTTCGCGGCCCACAAAAAAAAAGCAATGTAAACATTGGAAGCAAGAATCAGTCTACGTGGCCTTTCGCTCTCTTTCTCTCTCTCTCTCTCTCCGTCGTTTAAATAATAGCCCGGAGCCAGTCTCGTTGACACCTCCTCTAAGTAAATTATTTCTTTTCCGAGTAAACTTCGTTAGTAACTGGACGATTTCTTCGTTCCGGTGTTGTTTACGTCCTTCCGTTTCACGACTCTTCCGATTATCGCGGAACGTCCCGGTTCGAAACCCGTTTCTTCGTTTACTAACCCTTTTAGAACGGATTTACCGAGCATTTTCGTAGTCACAGGAGGAGGAATTGGCTCTCTGTTAGGTTCCAAGCTCACATGGTATTATTTCTTTTCAATTTTTTAGAATCTAGAACCCGATCCGTATCGACGAATCGACGTCACGTATTCCGGAGACGGATGGACGGACGAACGTACTTTTTCGTCCAATGCCGGTCCAGAAAGGTAAGAAAGAAAAATAATAAGAGGTATTTCTATAACCGCAGCGATCGATATTTTCTTGTCGTAATCCTACCTTCGCTTTCGTCTAGTCACGCGAATTTCCCGTCTCTCCCGGACAACAATTAGTCTTCCCTTTTCTCCGGTTTGCGTGACTCTCCTCACGCGATTTTAGCCGCGTCTTTACCACACTGATGGCCACGTGCCACGTTGTCACGCCAAGCCACGTAAGAAAATATCTCTTTCGCTTAAACTTCGTCTTTATTGCTTCTCTTTCTATAGAGTAGACATTATCGGATGCGAACGGAGGGGGGATGAAAATACCAAATCTCCCCCATATTTTGATAGTAGAAATAGGAAAAGAAAGATCCTTTCGTCTTCTTAATGCCACATTATCTTCGCTCAATACAATGCATTAATTATCACCTAATGTATCTAGTTATGATGTTAACTGGAGGATTCGTAAATCCTTATCCATAAAGGATCCTTATTCCGAAGATTATTTAAATGATTAACCGTAGACAATTAAAACCTATGGGTTCTATGGATTATGTTATTTATAGGATCTGTAAAGATCTTCTCTGAGTTTAATTAGAAGAACATATTCTAATCTTCCCAAGAGAACACTATCCCGATCCTCTAGTTATCTTCAGAGTATGGAGGAGAATATATGGATCCTCCAGGAGCTATAAGAACCTCTATAGTTATAGTTAGAATATGAAGATCCCTAAGTCTACTGGTGTATAAAACACTTCCGGCTGTGCCCATATTGTCAGAGATTACCCCGGTATTCTATATAATATTTACGGTTTTGCCACTTCTTGGTATATTTTAGTTGGATCCGAAAGGATAGAGAGAATTTTGTCAGATGTTAGAAAAGTATTGTACTTCGTATGGATCTTTTAGGATCCATAAGGAGGAGGATTCTCTTGTAAGGAGATTTTCACGGAAAGGGGACGAAACACAAAAGACAGAACCCCATTTAGCGGCGTTAAAAGTTTCCGGAAGTGGCATTAACGAGTTCCGAGCGGGTGGGCGATGTGCAGCGAGTCTTTACGACCCGAGGAGGGGGGGCGCGCAGCACCCCTAGCTAATTTGTAAGATGACGGGGACGTCCTTTTCTTCTCCCCGTCGTCCGTCTGTCCGGCCACTCGACCGGTTTTACGAGGGACATTAATTGGCTGTCTGCGGGCGATCTCCGGAGGCGGAGAATGCGGATAATTGGATTCCGCCGATGGCCCGCCGCCGCCACCAACTAATGAACGACCGCAGCGCGCGCCATCAACGATAGCGCGCGCGCCGATGCGACAAGTCGCTCTCTCGGTTTGACTTTACTCATTCTTCTCTCGTCTCTTCTCGCAGTTGGACTCACATCTTTCATCGTGCCGGTTGGGTAGACATCCGAGTGACCCAGTTTTCGGACAGACTTTGGATATCGAACTTTACTTTGTCTTCTCGGCTGAATGTCCAGTATCCTCTCGGCAAGATCCACGTGTTAGGACCGAGATTGGTTCCTTATCTTGACAGGTAGGTACCGTTATTTCACTAAATTTCTCCGATTCAAACGGCATAAAATCAAAAGAGGTCTTAGGTTTTTTCTCTCACCCTCCGGACTCGACCACATTCCACCTTTACTTTTCTTTTAACGTTCCCTTTTGCCTCGGTGGTTTTCGATTGTCTTTCCATCTCCATCTTGGATCGCGTCGCGACCTCGCGGCCGAGGGAAGCGCAATCCGTGACGGCAACGAGCGAGAAGTTCTGTCTGTGGAAAAAATTGGTTTTTCAGTTGTTCTTATTTCAGTGCGGGGATCTATCAGCATCCTTTTCCGATTGTTTCCATTTAGTATTCAGAGGATTAAGAAGAAATTAAGACGATTGGAAGAGAAAGAAGCGATAAAGTGGGCGGAAAGGCAAAGATCTATAATGTTTTCGGGTTGAAAGGAACAAAAAGACACACGTCTTCTCCTCTGGGAATGCTCTTCAATTAAAACAAATTTCCGTCGCTCGACAGGAGTATTGTTTCGTCATTTCCGCCTCGGACTTTCTTCCGCCCCAAGAAAAATTTCAGATAACCGGAGAGCGCGAGAACCCGAAAACAATCGCCCACAGAAAAATCGGTAAAATTGGAGGTAAACAATAGAGTCTCCAGGCACCCGACGACGTCTGTTCCACTAGATAAGCATAATTAGTATCTCCTCCCCTCTCGACGTGCTTCCAACTAACAATCAATGGGCATTTGTTGGCTTTTGACAAAACATATCTTTTAAATACTTTTTTTTTCTCCGGGTGGTGGTTTCTCGTGTGTAGAAAGAAGGGAAATTTCATCCCAAACCGCCCGGTGGCGCTCCGGGAATCCATTCGTCTCTGACCGGTTATTCCCGAGAGGGGGCGCTCGCCTCTCCGTGTCGGAGAGGCGAGCGCCCCCTCTCGGTGTGGCTAGTGTGGAGGAGCGTAGAAGAGCGAGGCCACTTCTCCGGCAACCACCCCGGAAAGAGAAAGTGGGGTCGGGCAGCGACCGGTGGCCGACGGAAATCCAATTTACCAAAACGATAAAAATCTCGGCCGGAGAATTACGTTTGGTGGGGGGAGGGAGGGAGGGAGGGATGCGAATTCGTTGGCTCACTTATAAGGGGAGTAAGAGTGTTTCGGGCTTATTTATCTAGCCTCTTTACAGTCGTTCGGGGATTATCCATCGTAAACCCCGTATTGGTGCGTCCCTCGATTGGATCGGGAGGGATTTTTTTTTTCTTTTTAGCCGCGGGGTTTAGGGATTGGAAGACGGAGGGACTAAGCAGACCTTATTGCGCGCATGGAGCGAGCGGAATATCAGATTCCTTCGCTTTGTTCCGACTCTTCGCATCCATCAACTTCGATCCGATTCGACCGGATGGGCGATTCTTACCGCAAAACCGGTTACTAACCGGGCGCCATTTACTCGGCCGATTCTCCTTGTTTTTCTTCACCCCTTCTTCTTTTTTTTTTCTTTATCTTTCCCATAAATCCTCCTTTCTTTCGGAGAATCACCGGAAAACCGGTAACGGTAACAATTCTCTCTCTCTCGTCGTTTGTCACGTCGAGGACGAGGAAGATGTGGCCGAGGTGTTGCTTTGCTTATTCAGTATATTTTTGCACTTCTGACTTTAAAATTTCACCCAAACTCGTATTTCTTAGTTTTTCTCTCCCAATCCATAAATTCGATTAGGTAAATAGCTGCCATATTTTTTAAAGGAGAATTGCACTTTATCCCTTCTCTATTAAAAAAAAAAAAACATTTAACACAACCAATCCCTCCTAATTAATTAATACACTAGCACTTTTCCCCATACAAATCCCATGGTCGAGCGGCGAAAATTTTCCTGGAGAAAAGATCGTATCGTCTTTCCGTTTCCTATTTGTATGTGGAGCGCCAGCGGAAAAACCGCCAATTTACACGTTCCATCATAAAAACGGAATTGCGAAAGGTGTAGCCGACTCGACCGAGAGAGAGAAGTCACCCGAGTCCGTATAATAGAAGAGCATTTTTATTACGCGGCACGATAAAAATGGCGCCCGAAAGGTGGGAAAGAGAGAGAGAGAGAGGTGTTAATAACGGGAGGAAACCCTTTCACATTATTCTCCGTCGAACGGGGATAATTCGCTTTCTGCAGTCGTTAATGGAGTTTCATTAAGGGGCCCTATCTATTTTGTCTAAATATAAATCCGTAAAAGAGGTGGGAAGATGCCGAAGATCCGTGGAAGCTGGCAATTAAGCGTGATTAATAGACCTGTTACGGTTGCCTCCGTCTTCTTTCTTCCTCTCCAAACTTTAATCTTTGTTTTTTTTTTCTCTCCCTCGCGTTAAGTAACGACCGGGCTTCTTCTTTTTTTTTTTGAGCTTGTTTTCGCCCAAAGAAAATTATCTTCGCCAGATTAAGGTGAGGCCATCCAACATCAACGGCGAAATCGCTATTGTTCTTCTATTCGGCCACGCTCCCTCTGGCTACTTCTAATAGAATTCTTCACGTAAACGCCTGCAATAAAGAGGATCCTTTACCGCGTACGACCACGTTTTTCGGTAGTTACAGGAGAGTCCGGGTTCGGCTTAGCTTATCCGAAATCGCCAGACTGGGCCGAGAGGAACCGATCATATCGAAAGTAGGCAGAGAGTCCCGCAGACCAGACGAGAGAGAGAGAGAGAGAGACCTTGGCCGCTTGATAGATGGATCCCCGGCGAGATTTGGTCCTAATGGACAGTTCGTGAGCTGGCATAATGGCGACTGCCAGACACTATTTCATTCTCACAGCCGGTTTAGCACCGAGGTGATTAACTACGGCTGTGTCCGGACCCACCCTCTCTCTCTCTCTCTCTGCTTTTCCTCTGTCTGAGCTCACGTTGAAGAAAGAACCTTCCTTTCCTTACTCCCTCTCGTAGAAAAAAAGTCCGTCACGAATCGGACGAGTGAGGTGCCGAGCGGGGAACGTTTTCCATCTTCCTATCGTCTCTTATCGTGTCACGTGACTAGGATTTAGTGAGCGTTGGCTCAAATTCCTTTCCCCCCTTCCAAACGAGGATTTCTTTCTTTCGATTGCCCTAATTTTTGAAATTTTCACAGTTTTCTCGGCCGACAGAAGAAACGTTTTACGTCCCCGCGGAACCAAAATGGACGGCGGCGAATGACAATCCGCTAATTACGGTTATTAAAGACAGATGGCGCCACAAGAAGTCGTCATTAATCCCGAGTGTGCGCGGAATAAATTATTTGGACGAAAACAACGTCACGTTAATTGCTCGACCCGTCATTACGCTAATGTCGACCATTCGGATGTGTCGTTGACCAATGAGAGGACGTCGCTCGGACGTTAGGACTCTGACCGGAAGCCGCTAGCCGGAGCGTTATCGTGTCCCCCCCCCCGAACCGAGCGCCGCCGGGTGATGAAGAGTCGTAATTACTCTGCCACCCACCGAGATCGAGTCCCTTCCTACCGTCTTCGCCACAAAGAAAATACGGATAAATAATAATAATAATAACGATAACTTGGAGATACTTGGCTTTATTTGGTCACGTGAACGAAATGCCCATTGTTTAAATTAACTGACCAATAAAATGACATTATTCTCTTGTCGTTTTTCCGCCGCGTGGGGCAACACCGTCGTGGCTGGTCGTAGCGAATGAAGGGGGCGCTAATGACGATTTTTTCCAATTTACGTTTTTGTCGATAAAATCGGGCGAGAGAGGCGATAAATGTTCCTTTTTTTGGGATCGTTAAGCGGCGTCGTAAAACGTAGGCGAGCCGAAAAAGTCATCTCTGGGGATCTATTATAAGCTTGTTTTCGTTCGGCCTTTTTCCTCCTCTTCTGGTCGTTGTTTACCGAGCCGAAGAAAGACTTCGAAGAATCTATGGGTACGAGTAAACGTTTCGGCTCGTAAACGTAAACGTTACGGTCGTTGGAGGGGGCCGGGAGAGCCAATTAAGTCGCCCCCCGAGGGAGGAAGGACGTTATTTTCTCCACCGCGCGCGTCGGCACGCGTCGAAGCTCTTTAACTTATCCGGATAATTGCAGCTCATCTTCTGTCGCTCGGTTTAGAGGTGGACCGCGCTTCTCCACCGATTCTTCGATTAATTAATTAAGAGGGCGACCGCCGACCACCGCTTTTCGAGTCGACGCCGCCGCGCTTCTTTCACGTCGCGCGGCTCTCCTCCTCCCTCTCTTCTTCCTCCTCCTCCTCTTCCTCCTCGCCGCTCCGACGTTGACTCTGTCACCCCGTAATTCGGTTAGTCGGAGAGGAAATTAACCTCGCTTACCGACGTCCAGGGAACTATCGCGACCCTTTTACTTATTCATCGCTTTTCCAGTTTTCCGCTCTCCTCGATTTTTCAGTTTAGCCTCGTTTCCTTCGCAAATGGCTTTTCTACTTCTATAATACAATTATTTGAAAACATCTGCATTAACATTTCCATCATTTCCCGAGACGTCTCCCTCTCGAGTCCACCTTCGAAAATGAAAGTCCCAGACGGAATTATCGCGCTCCGATTGTCCGGAAGATCGGAAAAAAGACCACTCTTCCGGATCGTAAAAGGGCGCGCCGATCTAACAGAGGGTTGCAAAATCTACGTTTTCCTTTCTTCGCGGTTTTGACATTACAGGCGACAATTACTGGCTGGCCCAAACCCATTTCCTACAACGTTTGGTAAAATTAAGGAACGTGTTAGTGTGATGCAGACGGATCTATCCATTTATCGATTCGTTCGCCATTTGCTTAGCATTCGTTCCCAGGCGCTTCCCTCCCCCGTTTCTTTCTTTTTTTTTTTGGTCGGAGTTTTTCGAATAATAATTAAGATTCCCCGCCGCTTGTAATTGTACCTCGGTGGCTGCGGGAGAACCGGAAGCGATCGTCTCCGATACCGGCGCGCGGGTCGGCAATCGGGGACACCCGTTCCGGATTCCGTGGCCCGCGGTAGAGGGGGGACGAAAAGGGGTAGTGTGCGGAGCGGCCCGCTTACCTTCACGATCGATGGGGAAATTATCGAAGCCAAGAGAGGTTTGAGGAACGAAACGTATTTTGACGTTGCCGCCTCAGATTTATTTCTCGCGCTTTTATCGCCGCTGTATAAAAATTTTCTCGCTTAATTCCCTTCGGTCCCGGCGGTCATTTTTCTTCTACCGTTTTCTTCCCGAGCATTCTCCTCGACGCACGAATTTCCTTTTCCTTCGTTTACCTCCTCTTTGCCCCCGCTGACCGGTTTCTGAGCTCTTTTCAGTAGCATTTTTCCCTCCCGAGAATCATTTACGTCTTACCAAATGTTCTCCTGGGCCTCGCTAAAACTTCCGTTTCGTCCTAGGACCCGAAACACAATTTCTTTCTTCTTTTTCAAATCTATTAATACCATACTTCTTAATTATATTAATAATATTAACGATGAATTAAATTAATTTCGCTAATTTTTTGTTTATTATTAGGACTTACTAATAAGTACAGTATATACGAGAAAAGCTTCCAGTAACTAACAACGGTGGCGCTTTACTTTTTTTTTTTGTAATCTATTTTGGAAATTGAACATCCGTTTCCGGTAAGAGATTGAACTTTCCTTTTCCGTTAAAACAAAAAGGTGGAACGGACTCAAACGAGTAGGGAATGCACAACTCTTCTTTGTCAGATTTATGGTCCCGTCTAGGGATCGCTTAAATTCGGAAAGACCGGATAATTCAGTCGGAAAAAAAAATTTCCATTTTATTTTCAAAACTCGTTAATTTCTTTTGGAAAATAAATACACTTCTGTCCTTTTTCTATTTTATAATTTAAACCGTAGGGCTCCCAAGGTGGTGTTTTTATTTTTTTTTATACTTCGCCGCCGATTTATTGTCACACAGAGATCCGCCATTCGTGAACAATATGTCACTTGCTTGCGTATGTTTGGCGTAACCGAATGAAGGAAAAATGGCGGGTGGAGTGTATAAGTAAATAAGAAAGTAAAAAAAAATATAAATAAATTGCTGGAGAACTTTCTTAGAATTGTTGTTTTTACCGAGAAATTTGGTTGTAGAAATATGCCGCCAAAAGAAAATTTCCCGAATAAACGGGTTTGTATTTGGATAAAGGGGTAGAAAAAAGTAAAGACTAACAGACGTTTTTGGTATTGGGAATGTAGAATTTTTGTTTCCTCCGGAGCGTGTGTTTTCATTTCAGGAAAAGAAAGAGAAGGAGGTTGGACTTCTTCAATTTTTGCGAGAAACAAAAATTGAAGTGGGTCGTAACCGGAGGAGTAAATCCGGAGGCCGAAAGGAATGTCCGAAGCTTCTTTTTAATATTTGTTTTAGCCGCGCTTCGTCCTCCTTTAATAACAAAACGATGTTTATGAGTTATGTAGGGCGCGAGCGGCCGAGATTACCCGAAGAAGAGCGGATGTTTGCGGGGTTCTACATACATTCGGATAAGAGCGAGGGGAGAGAAACATCGGTAACGTTCTCGCACAAAGCGGATGCTAATCTCTTGTGGCAACAGCGACCGTCCTCCGGTTATGAATAATAAAAGGCGGAGTATTGTGTGCCGGGTTTCGCAGCGCAGGGGGTTCTAATATCGCCGAGGAAATAAATTACGGACTTTGCAAATCGTCCAGTCTCCGACCCGCAATAACGCTTTCCAACGACCTAATCTTGGCTCGCTTCTCTTCGCTCCAACCTAATGGCTCTTCTCCTCTCGCTCCTTAATCCGCCGCCAAACGTTTCGCTCTTCCTTCCCCCCTCCCCGCTTCCTTGCCATCCACCCTCTTTCTTCGCCCATTTTCGACTCGATCCCAACCTGTTCCAGCGAAAATTGAGGGAAAATTCGCTAAATTGGCTCGCTTCCTCATTTTATCTTTCTACCTCGAAAGTTTAAAAAAAAAAAAAAAAAGTTAAGAAGCATCCTACTCTATAATCCGAAATCCGTGTATTATTTGTTCATATTAGGGTCGATTGGATAGGAATTCCTCTCGCTTATTGGCTTAAATCGTCTCATAATCTCGTTATCAATGTGTTAAAAATTAATTGCTTAATCTCGCAATTTAATTTTTTTAATTAACAGGCAGTCGTAGCGATTTTGTTGTTTGGATTTAAATATAATTTAGGAATTTAGGATTTCCTCCAGGCCTGAATTCTTTCCAGGTTAAGAGGAAGGATTTTCACGTCGTTTCTAATACAAGTGAAGAAGTCGAGAAACAATCGGAGGAAAATAGAAATGTCGGCATTCTCTTAACTTTCCACCTGAAATTGGAGTGTTCGGTTCCGGGATTCGAACCCGAATCAGAAAAATCTGTGCTTCGCTTAACTCGAAAAGGAACCGACACAGTATTACGTACCTTCGGGAAATTTTGTAGCTCGTTGTCTGTCTTCACTCCCATTTTCTGGCCACCGGAGGAAGAGCTCCGCTCCCCCGGGGCGCGTCACGTGACAAAACCCATTTGTGACCGTGTGCCCGGGATTTATTCGCTTCGATGGTTGCGTATTCACGAAGCGACCGACGTCCGACCGCGGAGAGGGCGGAAGAAAAAAAAAAAACATTTTCTCCGTACGGTGGAGAAGATTATCTTCGGAAGCGAACGGGAAATTTGCATCTTAATCAAGATGGAGTGGATAATCCGCGGGTGGGGTGGAGAAGAAGAAGAAGGAGGCCATCGATCGCGAGGTGTTACACGCGTCGAAGAATCGCGCGACGTTAGAAATCGGCGTCGAAGGGGCGTGGAAGATTAAATCTGTGTTTTTTTTTTTTTTGTGATGTAGGTTTGCCATCTTGGGATGTTGGAGAGCCGCCATCTCCCCCGAATCCGATATCGGGGTGGTTTACGCCTGGAAGGTCGAAGACGAGTGGAAAATTACCGCCGAGAGCGAGGTAAGCCGACTGTCTTCTGGGTCATTCGATTACAATGGTAGGGAGACGGGCGCTTTGATGTATGGGGGCCATTACCTTTCGCGCCCCGCCGTAACCCAATGATAGATGGCGCCGCGCGGGAGTCTCGTTGCATAAATCCCTTAAATGGGACCCGATCCCCGTATTTTTTGGGGTGGCGCGCGTTCCGCACCCACCGCGTCGCTCCGCACTCTGCGGATAATGCGCACTTTTTCAAGCGCGGGTTCCGGCGCGCGATGCGTGTCTGCTTCGCCCGGTGACATTGACTGATTCGACCGAGCTCCGAGAGAGATAAGAGAGCGGCGGAGAACCCATTCTTCATTGTCAGAAACGTCTCCTCGCCAGAATCTGTAAATGACTGTCTAAGGTTTTTCCCCCCAAAAAAAAATGCAAGAAAAAAAAAATAGATGGAAAGAGTTGTGCGAAAGTAAGCATTGTAGGTTTTATAGCTTGTCGAGCGCCTGTATATCGACTCGACTTGTTGCGTCGGGCGTCTAGTCGAGCGCAACGGCGATTTGTAACACCCGCTCTCGTTTCAGGTTTCCCTGTCGCTATCACGTCCTGGAAGTCACGTGATTGAAGTTAAAGCCTGGAACGGTGTTAGTCGGCTGGCAACACTTCTGACGGTCATCGCTGTTCCGGTGGTGACGGAAGTAAGTCTGCGAGTGCTTCCGGTACACGTGGGTAGAGTGTCCGAGTTTCGTATTTCTTACGTCGGAAGTTCTAGCTGCAATGTTTCGGTCTCTTTCGGTGACGGATCTTGGAGAACAATTTACTACTTCCGCTCCGATCGAAGTCAACCTGGCCTCTTCACCCTTCCGGTTCTACATAAATACGGCAGGAAAGGCGACTATCCCGTGGTTGTCAATGTTTCTAATCAGATCAGCTGGATGACTACTCGGCGAATGGCCCACGTGGGAGAATTGATAAGCGGCGTGATTTTGACCTTACTCACCCCTTCTCCCGTTCCTCTGACGGTCGACGTGGGTTTGGTTGTGGTTCGAGCCACCGTTGCCTCCGGAACCGATCTGAAATTTAAATGGGAATTTCGAGATAACGATGGAGACAAATATACCTCCGTAGAAAGGTAAGTCGTTGGGTAAGATTCGAGCTCCGGACGAGGGGTTCTTCGACCCACCGAATTGTAGATATTCCTTGTACGAGCCGAAAAGTCAAAGGAACCGTATCCGCACGTGCGACTCTTTGCGAGATATTCGCCTCCGAAGGTCGGTCCTTAACGTGTAGTGGTATACTGTCTATTCTCCGTGCTTTTCATTGTCAAGACTGGCTATTGCCTGCCTTCAGTTCTGGCCCGAGGCAAGTTTTAGGATGGGAGCGAAATCCTATTATGGCGCCCCCCTTGGTTGCCCCTAATTTATACCCTTTAATTTTCTTTACCACTGAGGCGACCCTTAAGACTTGGCGCCTGGAGCGGCTGCTCCGTTCGCCCTATAGTAGGGCCGGCTCTGCCTGCCTTTACCGATGCTCCACACATAGTAGTGTGTTTTGGTGCTTGCTATTGCTCTCGTCCCGGTGCTTGGGTGGGGGCGAGCCCCACACTCCTAAAACTATATAATGTCGAGTATTCCGCAAACGGTTGAGTGGGCTACTCGAAGCTGTCATAGTTGCATGGGCCGAATAGTTAAATGTGATAGTCTTAGTGGAGTGACGCTACTCGTAATCTTGTGCTATCCAATTTTGAGGAGCCGTATCTTGCTAAGGGACGCTTGTAGATATATGTTTCCTTTGACTTTTACACTCCTGTAGGTATGCTCTACGGCTCCGATAAGGTCCCAAATGTCTCGGTCGGAGCTTGAATTGAGCCGGTCGTCATTTTTGGATTCTTTTGTCCTTCACGTTAAATGTCTTTCTCTTCCAGCAACGAAACGGTCAGTGTGGCTCGTCACGGTTACGGTATTGCCGAGACTTACAATGTCAGCGTCGAGGTATCCAATCCCTTTGGTAAAGTGGTCGCCTATCTGGATGCACCCGTGCGGGTGGTGGAGCCCATCAGGCAACTTCGGCTTCGTCCGGTGGGCGACATCTGGGCGGCGCCCCTGCTTGTCGGCGGATCCGAACCGCCCATTACCCCTCCGGTCACCTTTGAGGCCCAGGTCTACTGGGGATCCGACGTGGAGTTCCTCTTCGACTTTGGCGACGGAAACGGGACCTCTGTTCCCGCCCAGCTGGGTACCCTTTCTCTCCGGCCCACAGCCCAGTGCACTCATTACTACCGAAGAGGTAAGATTTTGCTATTTGCAGTTCTCTCATCGATGTTATGCACTAATATTTACTTTTGTCGATTGCTCTCTGACCGGTCGGAGGATTCTTTCTAGATACTTTTTGCAATTAATTAATGTTTAAAGAGGAAATTAAGAGAGAAAATTAGAAAAGCAAACATTTTGAACGAGTGGTTGTTGAATCTTCAATTATATTCTTGTCTTTTCTCCAGATTCGTTCGTTCTTCTTTTTATATTTATAAAATTTGCTTCAAAGCTACTTGGAGTGATTTCAATAATAGTCTGCGTCCATATAATAACAATATGAAGAAATATTGATGTTTAACATTAATAATATTGGCATCTTAATACAAAAATTGATTAATTACTCTTTAAAATGTACTTGTCATGTAAACTGTATCCAGTTACTGATGTTTATTTTTTGTTGGCATTATCTATTCTTAGAATATGTAAATTATATGAACACTTTTGTTTTTTAAAGTTAGTTGCTTAATTTATAAATTTAATAATTCGACGCGCAATGTTTTTCTGTTATTCTTTTAGGAAATTGTTGAATCAACCAGTCCTGCGATCCATTCTTGGCATTGTTTTGGTATCCAAAAAATGAATCTTTAAGAATAAATATTTCTGAGGGGTTTTTTTTTATTCGCATAAGTTTTTATTTCTCTCTTTTAAAAAAAAAAATCAAATATATTTTATATATTATCATATTTTAAAATTTTCATTCTATAATTTATAATCTGCCTGGTTATAACATAAAAAACATTTAACTAGGATGAGAAGTTTATGTCTATGAGTAAAAGAAAAATTTTTAAAAATGAATATAAATTTAGAAGTAAAAAAAAAATAAAAATGCGGTCGAGGTGACCGGTTTCTTGCGATTTTAAACACCTCGAAATTTGACCGTGTTCTAACGGCGCGTAATAAATTTTACAAATCTTTCCGCTGCAAAAAACAGTTAAGAATTTCAAGAAAAGAACAATTTCTACACGAATGGATTCTATAAAAATATTAAAAATTATATTTGCATAATGAATTTTTTTCTCTTTACCTGTTTTAAAATTAAAATTAACGTCACTCTTCCCGGCTTCATTTCCATTTGTATTTAAATATTTTAAATGTTACGTGCCGATTTAAAATAGTGGGATTAGTTCTCAAACAGATTATCTCTGTTTAATCTGGATAGATAATGTCTAATGATTAAGATATTTTTTTTTTTAGTTTTCATATTTAAATATTTATTAAATGAAGAAAATTACTACAGAATTTTGTAGAATTCTAGAAATTTATCATTTATGCAAATTAAGAAAGAGATTAGACGTTCGACTTTTCTGTAATGATTTTGCGATAACGTAATTTTCGATTCTTATTAAATTATACGGAGTGTACGGAATTGAGTAACGAGGTTGAAATTTGTATCTAGTTCCTCTGAATCTTCCTTTTACAAGAATTACATTCATAAAGTTGCATTACCAAACTGACAAATTAGTTGACAGACCGTCGTCGTTCTCGCAAGTCTCAAAGTCTATTTCCGATGTTTCCGGAAAGATCAATCACCCGCAGTGCCCAAGGACGACGAGTAATCCGAACAAAGATTTAAATTTTGTCTAAATATTTTAAAGTATCGCCGGGCTTTTCGGATGCAGCGGGTAGAACCTTCGACGTCTTTAATAAAAACTCCGAGAGAAAAATAAAGAAAAGCCTCATTATTTTCCTCATTTATCATTTCCCGATATTTTCTGGAGGAATTTTTGTAAGGAGAGAAAATATTTTCATTAATTTTGTAGCTCAATATTTCATCAGCATTAGAGCAAATTACAGGAAACATTCTCTTCCTCGAATATCGCAACTTTTATAGGATTTTTCTGTTAGGTTATTGTTACCATGGATACAGGCATGCTATAAAAATGAAATTAGAATGCAAGAAGCAAATGCAGGTGACAGTTGCATGATTGATAGTTATGTCAATCAGATTTTTCTTCTAACTGTAGTTTTTTTTTTATTTTTATTTTACAATCTTTATTTTTAGATGCATTGTATGGGATCTAATGATAGAGCAAATAAATGAAGTTTTGCTATCTTTGTAAATGTCATGCTTCTCAAAACAAACGTGTATGATTTATAAATTGCTTCTTATCTAAGCCCGAAAAAAATTATTGTTTGTCATTTTCTTAAAGATTAACCCGGAGATAAGAAAACATCGTCCCATCTTCTCTTGTTTTTTTTTTTTTTTTTAATTTTTAGTGATATTTTCCTGGAAACATTCCAATGAAAATTTTAATTAAAATCCGGACTTAAAGAATATTAATGATTAAAGTTAATTAGTAACACGGAATTAATCTCAGGAAACTAAAATCCTCTTGTTTTTTTTTTTTTTTAATTTTTAGTGATATTTTCCTGGAAACATTCCAATGAGAATTATTATTTTATTGAGATTTTAAAAAAAATATAATTGTTTTTTCCATTACTGTATAAAGAACTATTTTTCTCCCATGCTATTATTATGGAGAATTTAAAAATCTATATTGCTGCGGTGTCTAGCGCTTGGAGCTGATTCGTCGACAATCTAAGATTTATAAACAGACACGCCCGGTGGATTATTTGATAAATATTAGAATTTATCGATTTTCTCGAAGATGGTACATGTGGCAGGTGAGAAAAAAGGCGACTTCTCTTTGAAAGAGAAGGTTTGTGTCAAGGTCATGCGTTAAAAGTGGGTTTTTCATGTATAACCCCTGTCATCTGGAAAGAATTAAATAATTAAATAGAAAAATAATAATAAACATGTAGCTTTGACTTTTGGTGTTATTGAAGGATGTAGGTTTGGATACCATGAAGGACCAATATACATTAGTTTTTAGATCTTGGTTTTTTATGCAAATTATGTTTTGGTATTATTTCGGCTTATTTGGTATTATTTCGGCCCAATTCCGGCTATTCAATAACCAAATGCAGGTTTTAAAAACCGTGTCGTGAAATGAAAGAATGGGAAATTTCTCGGCTTTGACTTTCTTTGGACAATAAATTTTGTCAGAACCATTTTTACGAAATAGACCGTGAAGTGTTTATGCCTGTATTTTTTCCCAGATTAGAATCGTGTGGTCGTCGGAACCTTAGCCTACGAGAGCGAGGGCGTTAAAGATAGACTAATGTAAATATTTACGTTTTAAATCCTCTACCTTTCCAAACTACAGCTTAGAAATAGATCTTTCTATTTTAAATTTAGCCGAGAGTGGATTCTTTTTTCATTTCAAAAGGAATTTATGGTTCTTTCTAAGGAAATTTGAAAACAAATAGCAGAATGTTAGATGTGAAAATCACAATACTTGGTTAGAAGCAGAAATGTTAATGTTAATATTCTTACTTCTAACATTTAATCATTAATATTTTAAATGCAGTTTTAAGAAATATTAATTATAAAATTGATATTAATTTAAACAAAATTTTAAGTTTTTAATATTGATTTATGCAAAAAATGTGAATTTCTACTGATGCTGATATGAATTGAAATAATTTAATGCTTTTTTCTTTTATGTAAGTGATAAAATCTATAAATTTAGTTAAAGAAAACTTTCAAAATTCTATCAGTTTTTAAACTGAGATTTCTAAGAATCGGTATTTGAAAGTAGATTTTTTTATCACTGTTCTGCCAGCAGTTTGACAATAAATGACTCTCTGATACAGTAACTTGTTTTTGAGATATTGTAAGCCGTTGCTTGATGCTTTGTCTCGAGTCTAGATAACATTTAAGTACTTAATCAGAATAAAATTTGAACGTCGACTAACCACACTCATAAAACATAGAAGTAGAAAATTGTTAGGTTTTGTCCTTTGTTTTTGACATTGTTTTGTAATAAGCTCTTGAGATCAAAAACAGAAATTTCTTACGTAAAAATAAATAAAAGGAAATTAAACACACAAAAAAAATGATGAATTTAATTTCCAATATTTAGTGTATATTCTAACTTTGAAGTATGATTTTAAATGCAAATTTCCAAAAGTAAAAAGCAAATAGATCCTATAATTCTTCTGTTTTATATTTAAGTTAAACTTTTAACACAAGAGCAGTTTTTTAATAAACAATGATAAGTTTCTACACATTTTTGTTATACTTATGGAGAAAGTACAGTGCAAATTCAATGACGCTAGACACAGTATTACAGTATAGACAACCGTGATAAAACCTGATTAGGTAGATTAGAAAATATTAGAAGTTATTCTCATTGTAAATGTCAAACAGCTGTATTTCTGAGATTATTTTTTTAAAATAAAAAATAAAGCAATTGACCTTCTTCTATGCTTCCGCTCTTAAAAATTTTTGAAGGANTTATTGGTATCTATTATTGGATATCAATTAAATGAATTATAATGTTTGATATTTCAGAAAAAGCTTACACAGTTAAAGTAACTGCCAGCAATCCCTTAGGGAGCGTCAGCATGACATTACCAGATTTATTTTATGTCCAGATTCCTCCGAAAGGGTTAGAATTAAACAGAAAGTATTACATAACTGTTCTGGGAGAACCCATTGTCCTTGGAGCGACTGTTACTGCCGGAACGAATGTCTCCTATGACTGGTATCTGGGAGATAATATCGTCTACTCCAAAAGGGGTAAAAAATTCCCTAATTATATATTTATACTTATTTCTTAGATATAAAAGTTTGCTTATCAATAATACATGAATTAACTATATATCCGTATGAATTTAGGTCCAGAAATTGTATTGAATTTTGATAAGATAGGAAAATATAATGTCACCGTTCAAGCGTATAACAAAGTGACGAATTTGTCTCCTAACATCGATCATCTCTTTGCTTCCACTAATGTATATGTTCAGGAACCTCTTCAAGGTAAGCTGTATAAATATATAATAATTATTATATCTAACATATCAGTTCTACATTGTGAAAGAAAATTTAAATTACTCTTTGTATCTCTATCATAGTAAATTGAAATGTTTTAAAAGTGCAGATACAAAAATTGTAGACCTTAAGTTTTGTACAGATCATTTGAATATTTATTTTAAGACAAACCAGATTAAGTAACCTATAAATTTTCCTGTATTTTATTTTATTTTTTGAGAATCTGATTGATCTTGCACGATACACTTCTTGCAACCTGATTCATATGATATAAATTTATACAAATTTGCATAAGCAGGCAAAGTTATGCCATAATTCTGTCTATTCAGATGTTTAATCTAGATTAAGCCAACTACATCAATACATTAAATGTGCAGCTGGATGATTTCGTACAAATATTTAATTGGATTTAAATTATTCTAAATCCATTTGTAAAATCTCTTATTTGGATAAAACTATATAAATTTAATGTTTAAATGTGAACATTTTTGATAGTTTTGTTAGTTTAATTATTAAAGTTAATTAGTGTAAACAAAAAAAAAATATAAAATTAATATTGTATTTGGTAAATTTGATATAAAAGTTATGTTTACTTTAAATAGGTTTTATACAAATTATAGTTACATTAAAGTTGATGTTATTCTTAATATTTAAATAGCATTAATTAATTTAATAATTAAAGCTATTCAAATATTAAATTTAAAAATTATCACGGTTAAATTTATATTTTTAAGATTTGTTGTTTCGTAACTTTGATACTGTATTTAATATGAGATGCCTCTTTTTAAAATGGCAAATTTTGAACATCATCATTGTCTTATGCTGTTTCAGCTCAGCTTAAGTCAACATTTTTCTTTGTATTTTGAATCCAACACTCTTCCTTTCTGCTCTGATCATTTCCAATTTTTCATACATCATTTTTATATAAAGATTTTTAATTTTTCTTATATGACCCCTATAATTCAGTCTGAGGAATTTTTACTATTAATCACATTATCTTTTCTGATTAATAACATTAATAGCCAGGCTTCTGATCTGTGGTTTGGAAGTGGAATAAAATAAACAATGTACAGCAGTTGCTTATGCTTTAACAGTATTTCTTGGGTCCAAAGAAGTTCACATGAATTTCTGTAAAGTTTATGAGCACTAGTGAGCATCTTCTGTAAATAGCATCATAAATTATGTGAAGTTTAACAATTGTGTCCATCATAATTGTTAAACTTCATAGAATTTATGCCTTTATTTTAAATAGATTGCTATTAAACTTTTTATAAATTTAGTTTTAGTTAATAATTCTTTATAAATTTCAATTATAATCATCAGCCATTATTGTTTGCTGCCGGACATAGGCCTCTCCAATGACTTCTATCTGAAGTTTTTTGCATCCAGTTCATCCCCAGTTTTTTCTCTTCATCTCATTCTTGGTCATTCAGGCATCCTTCTGATTTTGGGGTTTGTTCTGTTGTTCTCTTTGGCCATCGGTCATCTGCGGCTCTTCCCACATACTTAGCTCGACCATGTTTTTTTCCTCTAACCATTGTATGATATCCCTATTCCAATTATATTATCATATACTAATTTGTACTGTTGCAGATTGACATAATGGTCTAGTTAATTGAGAAATGATTCACAAATATTAACTTAATTAGTTATTAACACTTGCAGTGTGTATACATTTCTAATATACGTGAAGCTGTTATTGGTGTTGGAAGTATAAATTATCTGTGTTGTTTGTCTGATAGAAGATAGTACTATTTGATATTAAGTATGAATATGAAATATTTATAAATTATTTTATCTTCTCTGAAAAAGTTATTAATTAGGTGCTTGTGATTGCCAAATTTCTTCATAAATGTTATCATTCATTAATTTTGGAATTATTTTAGTACAATATATCATTTTAAACAATGATATATTGAAGAGTTGAGTATAAAAGTTGGCATATGCAACAAAAGCATGTTTTTTTGAGAAATGTAACATTTTGTTTTGTTAGCATCAAATAAAACATTTTCCTGTATTTCCTATGTTTAATACTAAGAAAAAACAAACTCTTGTCTGTTGTGGAATATAATCATGCATTTAGCAGAGGTAATTATATTATTTGTTGGAAATTGGCTTACCCTTTGGCCACTTCAGTTAGACATCAGCATCTTCGAAAGGATGCAGTATCTCTCTTTGTGATACTGCATCCTTCTTCTTATCAGCAGATAAATACCAGTTGTTTGGAAAATATAACAATGGCTTTGGATCATCAAACTTTAGTGTCCTGCATTTCTGCACGTCAGCTTTCTCCTTCCTTATAGATAGCTTCCTATTAATTTAATACTTGAAATAAGCTCCAAAATGCTTGAAACTTCCAAATGAAATTTCAAGTACTATGTGAAATATCCTTCAGGTTTGTTGCAGACGGTAAAAACGTACTGTATTTTGTGTTTAAGCTTTTCTATCTGTGAGACGTCTCCATCCAAGTAGGTTGGTTTGTCAAGATACTAAATATAAATGTATCACAGTTTCAAAGATTTTGGCAGGGTGTGTTACATCCAAAATACAGCTATATTAAAGTTTTATTTTTCCCTCTACAAAAATTCAGGAAGACAACTAAATATTGTATGGATGATTATGATTTCTTTGAATTTCTGGTAAAATCTTCCAAAGGCATGATATAGTTTCATCAGGGCTTTTTCTAGCCATACTCTCAGGCCATACACACATATAACCATTGTCAATGTTACATATGTGAAAGCCAAGGTTATAAACCTACAATTGCCTTAAATATAACATAGTTTCTATATAAATCATTGGTGTGGACAGAGTCTGATATAGGTCAGATGTTATTAAAAGTTTATCATGGTTTTTGATTTTAGAAATCTATGATCACTTTTTTAGTTTCTCATACCCAGCATCTGCATTGGATTGATGTACAGTCGACCCCCCTATAAGACAGAGATATGTTCCATTCTTTAGGAATCCGATTTCTTATGAATCCTTCCAATCACAACCCGACACGTATCAAGTTTACGGACTACGGCTGTTTGAAAGATTTTCTTCCATAAAATTAATCGATTCTAGACTAATCCGACTCAACATTTCCAAAATACGTATATATTTTTTGGGAATAATCCGTATAAACTACGCTATAAACAAAAAATTGTAGGATTACTTACCGAGTGTCACCATTCGACATTGCCATTGCTCAACATTGTTTTCGTCGCGGAACAGCTCAGCAAAGAGCGGCCGATTTCTAACAACTTATTTTTCTGTGAAAACTTCGTAGAACTTCGGAGACATCATTAATATAAATAATTTTAATCGCCGTTGAATAAGAAATGTTTCTTTCACAAGAAATGTATAAAATTACAGTACTGTATTAGACTTACGGTACCTAATTTACATACTGACAGACGATAGTTAGCGTAAAAATCTCCGTAGCGTGGCGCCACGCTAGACGGCGGAAATTATATATTTAATTATAACAAAGTTACAATAAGTTAATATATAATTATATATACAGTACCTAATTTATATATAATTAATATATAATTATATGTACAGTACCTAATTTATATATAATTTATATAATACTGTCCAGACGATAGAAATCTCTCCGTAGCGTGGCGCTACGGACGGCGGGAAAGTAGTTCGGCTGCCCGATGACGTTTGAGGTGTTTATAGGGAACTTTTACTATTTTTTACGGATACCGGTAGCAATTTATTCGTAGTTTTATAGGAATCGTAATTATAGGGACCGTAATTATAGGGGGGTCGACTGTATTTTAAATTCTATGGATTTCTTGAATGATTTGTCATTGATAGCCTTGTCACATACTTTGCACCTGTTTGCTTATTGTGGTTTAAAGCAGATATTGAACTTCACATTGAAAGTTTGATAGTACACTCACTCTTTTTGTGGTACACTGTTTACTGTACTTCATGAAGTTTGTACATTTCAGCATTAGTCAAAACACACAACGTACAGTATTTTGTCTGTATTTTCTTTTCAAGCATAATACCTCTTGCAACTCTCAAGTCACATCACACATATACTTTGCACTATAGCAGAGTGAAGTCTTTATTGAATTTTCTTCCTTCAAAAAATATTTGTAAAAAATCTTTTCTGTCTTTGTGCTCTTTTGTAATTTCTTTTAATGTTGTAATAACTTACAGATGATCTTCTGCATTCTTACTTCATTATGAAAAGATAAGTATTTTGCTCATTATAATCTTCAAGATCATAAAAGTTTCCTGAAAATACTGTTTGTTTTATTCTGGAGTAAGCATATTATAATTGCAGAATGAAAAATCCGCATTACACTTTGAAAGTTTAACTATGTATTATTCCCTATCCAGACTTTCTGGCTGTCTTCCTTTTATTCCTTATGTATTCCTCTCCATTTCTAGCATGTTCTCTGCATGTTATGTGAAGTTTTTCCATAGTTTTGAATGTGTTTTCTTGAATTCATGTAGCAATGCTATCTATTTCATCCATCCATCTTAAAATATTGCATACACCTCTTTTGCAAAGGCCCTGTCACTCAATTATCTTAATGCAAATTTTTATGTTATATAATTACAACGAGGCATCCAACAGAAGAATACTACATAATATGTTGACAGATGGTCTGAGGATACAAAAATTGGCCGTAGTTGAAAATTCAAATTTTGTTACTTATGCCCCTTTTACACTCAGCCCTTCAATTGTTCTGTGCCCGTTTTGATAACTTCAGATCTTTTATTTTCATTAAGATGTTTTGTAGTTATTTAGCATTTGTTATGACTTCATAAGAATGAAATTGTTAAAAGCGTATAATATTCTGTTACTGTGCTATGTTATATATTTATTTTACAAGTTTCTCACAAAACAATATCTAAGTCAAGATTATACAGACCTTCTGACAAATTTTAAATTATTATTTCCTCATAGCTCCCTCAATAATGTGTATTCTCTATTCCTTCTCTGAGTGATTGTATTATTAATAACATTATTCTCT